TACGCGTTGGTTAAGTGCGCAAAAGTGCTAAAGATTTTTTTTTGAAATCATTGACGACGTTGAGGTGTTTATGCAAATGAGATATTTACGACGCCATCTTCAGTGCTTTTCGAGAACAGAACCGCCGCAGTTCCAAATGGAGGTGATTAAACTTCAATGCGATACGATCCTTAAGGATAGATACTACCACTACAATAGTAATTTAATTTCGTTTTATCAAGATGTTAAGTAGCAAGATTTTCCCAAATTCTTGCACTGGCCTTGGAAACTTGCTCCATGTTCGGTAACAACGTACTTCTGCGAGCAGACGTTTTCTTTAATGAATTTGAACAAAACTAAAAAACAGGTGTTTGTCTGTGTGTCCTTAGAGGCGATACTCAGAATTTCCACTGCTCAAGCCACGTACCAAATATTATAAAACTTGTTGAATCGAACGCTGTCAAGATCATCTTAAGAATAATGTGTTTATGTCGAAATTATGAACATTATTTTATCACCCGCGCGTTGACTCGATCAGACCATTCAATGTCAATACGAATGTCGCTCCACTCATTTTCCGTTGGGGCTGGGAGCCGGCGAAATTAAACCTTATCGCGGATTCTACTAAACTTAGTAATAATATGTAGTTTTTAAGTAAATGAACAAAAAGGGAAGTACATATCTGTCATATCGACTTGAAGATACAATGTGACATTAGGATTTTACATAACCTATACGTATATCAACGGTCATGACGTTTCATATTCATTTTGCATATACTTTTAAACATCTAGAAGCCTGGTGTCAAACTGACAGACTCAAATGAGCTTTTAAATGCAAGCATGAAGCATACATACAGGATGTATTATTTTTATCTATTTGCATTGCCTGCTATAGCTTTCAGTCGGTACGACAGCAACTTCTGGCGGAAATCAGTTTGTCATACCATGTTTTCCAAATGAGCCTAAAATTTCCATCAAACCTTGTAGGCTTCATTGGATTCGGTAAAATTATCTTGAATACGCTGTATCTTTAAGTCGGTTTTGACAGGTACTTCTGGCAGGAAGCGCCCCGTCTTACTGAGCTCTTCTTGTTCATTTACTTAAAAACTACATATTCTTACTAAATTTAGTCGAATCCGCGATGAAGGTATACTCAATGCCACCAGCTCCCGGGTCATTGCTGTTCGCAGGGTGCTACGGTTAGCACAACACCTTCCTCGCGATGCGTATGCCGCTGCCTAATCCCTCCCCACACTTCACGGAGTCACCCCGCAGCACTGTGATGCGAGCGGTGCTCGCGCTGCACTGCTGGCACCCGAGTTGGAGAGGCGCCTGGATTAGGTATTGAGATTGAAATAAAAAGACCGCGTATGTTAAAATACGATATAGAAACCATTTATTAACTTAAATTACTGTGTACAAATAAAATATGCTCTACGTCAGATGCGACAAATCGTCCACGATAGGAGGTTGCTGTTGTTGCGTTTGCTGTCCTTGCTGTATGTAGCTCTGCTTTGATATCAGCATTGCAGGTGGTTGGCTCTGACCACCTGCTGTAGACACCATCACCAATTTCTGTTGTGTCTGCAATTTAGGTTGTGCTGGTTTGATACGAATTTCACCACCTACATAGATATAGCAAGTAGGCTTGAAAATAAATATGTATTTGTTTCTCAAAGGTGCAAGGAGTGATTGAACAAGGAGAAACCTAGTATCAGATTCTTACTCTATGCCGCTGCGTTTTCATTTAAATTGCTGATTTTTGTTGTTTATTTAAAATTTGTTTGGCATGATTGCTATATTCTTTTAAAAAACTTCAGGGTGGCCAATATATAACTGATTTAAATTGCGCGCCATTTTGATACACGCATTTCAGTAGGTGGCTCCGTAGTATTTGTTAAAATCACGCGTCCAATTCATCATGGAGCGCTACACGATCCCACAACGCGTATTGTTAAAATGTTTTACTTAAATAATGAGTCGATTGTTACAACGATTCGGAAGCTACGACAAGATTGCGGTCAAAATAATGTGCCCAGTGTCAACAACATTCGTCAGTTGGTGCGGAAATTTGAACAGACAGGTAAAGTTAAAGACTTGCCAAGGTCAGGCCGTGTTCGTACTCCGGAAATATCGAGAGAATTCGTGAAAGTGTAGTGGGCGCCCTGAGACGTCTACCAGACATCGTTCTCAAGAACTGGGTATTCGTCGAACGTCATTATGCACTATTTTAAAAAATGACTTACATTTGCCGCCATACAAAATTCAGTTAATCCAAGAACTACAGCCTAGTGACTATGAAAGTCGCCGACAATACAGTCATGCAATATTGCACCTTAATAGCAAAAATTACGGTTTTTACCGACAAATGATAATGAGCGATGAATCCCACTTCGATCTGAACAGATTTGTTAATAAGCAGAATTGTATCTGTGCATTAGAGAACCCTCGTGTCATCCATCAACGACCACAACATCCTCGTCCGGTCACAATTGGTGTGGAGGTATCATTGGACCTTACTTCTCTGAAGACGCTGCAGGTAATTCTCTCACTGTCACTGGCGAGTGCTACCATGATATGGTGTAATACTTTCTAGCCCCTCAAATCCAACAATTTAACCTGCAAAACATGTGGTTCCAGCAGGACGGAGCAACTTGTCAAACAGCTAGGAAAACAATGAATCTTTTGCGAACAATATTTCCGGGACGTTTAATTTCTCGATTTGGTGATGTCAACTGGCCAGCAAGGTCACCGGATATAACGGCTCCTGACAAACCAAATACTGTAGAGCAGCTGAAGAACAATATTAGGGAAGCGATTGAAAATATTCCTCCCGAAACATACAGAAAAGTGATAGTAAATGTAATCAAGAGGGCTCAGGTTTGCGCGGGTTCTAGAGGCGGATATTTGTCTGATATTTTTCATACATAATTTCTAGGTTTCAATAAAAGATTAAGATGAAAAAAATGGGCGTATGTCGTTTCACAAATATTCAAGATACAAACCAGTCAGTTACATATCGGTTACCCTATACAATAATTACATAGCATAAAAATCTTTAGAAAAACAAATCTTGCACCTCTAAGAATTTTCATTGTCCATGAAACGTCTCTTTAATTTTCTTTCACACATCTTTAAATTATAAGTAGACTTTATATTTAGTGTATCAAATTCCAGTAATCCCTTCTGAAATATTGAGATACTAGCTATATTACTGTTACAATTGTGTAACTGGAAATATATATTTCCCCTTGTATAATAATTGTGATAATGATTATTCAATCATATGTAATGTTCAAAATATTTCGGTTTCGGTTATTTTAAAGATAAGAATAAGAACCAAATATATGATTTTTTTATATTCAACCACTGCAATTCTTGTTTCATAGATTTTATTTTGGTGTACCCATTTTAATTCAATATTATTCTCATGGTTTTATTGTGTAGGACTTGTAATTTTGAGAATACAGCTTCTTTGGTAGGAAACAAGGTAATCGAACAATATAGTAAATCTGGAATAATAATAATTTTATTACAAACATTTTTTTGGAGTATGTACTACGATTATAACAATCAATTATTTTTTTTACAATTTTGGAAACAATGTATTCATACTGATCCTCAAAGACCCATTTTATACTAGCAATGGAAAAAGCAGGAAATCTCACGCATGAATGTGACCTTGACCTCGAATACCATTTGAGATTCACACGACCTGCACTTTGAAAGTCAAGTTCACATTCGGACGTAAAGTTTCCCTCCTTTTCTATTTCCAGTATAAAAATTATCAGTTTGGTTGGGAAAGTTTGGCTTAACTTTGACGTTTAAGGTCACATTTTTTCGTTGTTTTGATTTGACCTTGAAATGGCCTTGAAAGCAATAGTCTAAGCCATGGCCAAGGTGATGTTAGGACGTAAAATTTGCTCCTCTTTCAATCTTGATGTGAAAAAAAGGGTTCCATTTTAAAATATGCACTTGACCTTGAAGATCGCTGTCAAGGTCATTGGAAAGGTCACCATCAACTTCAGTTAGAAACTTTTATTAGAAAGCCCAGTTTTCGAAATATTTAGATTGGGAGATTAAAATGGTTCACCGTGTATAACACTTTGTTCTGATTTGTCAAATTTGATCTCTAGGAGCAAAGTTTGAACCTGGGATTAAATGAAAAAGTAGGTGTTTGTAGCTAAACATTTGGGCTTGACACGAAGTGGACTTTGACGTCAAAATCACATTCGGACGGAAAATTTCCTGCTTTTTCCATTTCCAGTCATTTGGGTGATGCTCATAAACCTCACAACCGTGATGTTGAAAATTTTTGCTAGAGTAAACTGTTTTTGATGTCTAGATTTGACCTTGAAGGCGAAATATTTAGGTTGGGTTATGGTACACTTCGTTCTGATTGGTCAAATTTGCTCTCTAGGAGCAAATTTTGAACCTGGGATCAAATGAAGAAATAGGCTTTTGTACTCGTAGCTAGACTGGGGACTTTGTAACGAATTTCTTAACTTGATATTTTAGAAGAAATCGACCAGACCCATTAGATCTCTTCTTTCAAAAACGGTCAATTTTGACTCGTGGATCGCATTTAGATCCTTGGGTTTCTGAATGGTCTAATTTGATCTTCAAAAACGTCAAAATATACCTATAAGACGGCATCTTGCAAACTAGGTAGTTCATAAGGCGCAAACAGTCATTCCACGTTTGCTCGCTAGGATCGTTGTGAACGTCCATCTAAGGAGGAATCACTCAACTAAACTACACTCATTATTGGTTACATGTGTTTTGCGAGGCCAAATGGTCCTTGTCTGTAGTTTTTATCTCTGAGAAGAAAGTTGGCATCTGGATGATTATGTATATTGGTTTGCATGTGTATAAAATGAAGTATATCTATTGGCTGTGCCCGACAGGTTATTTTTAGCTTGTGCTTTCTGAAGATAGAGGTTATGTTCAAAGTTATAAATTACGAAAAACTGAGGAGAATTACGAGAAATCATTACCGCGCCCGCGTTGTGTGTAATTACTAGCATGCATATGGCTTATAATTCGACAGTGTACAGTGAATATAATTATTTCTTCTCTCTCATTTTTGAAATTCAGTAAATTTGTATATGTAATTTCCAGAATGTGTAAGAAAAAGTGGATGTGCAACTAATTTCTAGCTTCGAATCTCAATTAAGTGTATTTGAGACAAGAACCCAATGTAATTATCATCAACACATATAACTTACAGCTTAGACCTAAAGTAATGCCATCTCAGAAGCAGATTTTACATCACATCAGAGCCAAAGATTGATAACAAGCCGCATGACGTTTAGGCAACACGTACAACTAAGTGCTAAGTTAATATCTTGTAGAAAAACCTACATAATGTCAAAAAAAATCGGCATAATGTCACTTTTCAAGATACGTGATACCCGTGCCGGCCTAAATGATCAGCTATTATTTGTTATCACGATTGATGTGATGAAGCAAAGTAATAAATTAGGAATAAGATTAAGTTTGAGATTAACCTTAACTTACCGTTCCACCTTGAGTATTCCCCCCACCACCGGTACTCGCTCCTCCTCCCGTTGAGCCGCCCTGTTGCTCCCTTTGAACAGGCGTTTGTTGTTTTTGCGTCACATAAACGAATTTTTGGTTGCCAGACTGAGACTGTTGCACTCTGCTTCCTGGTGTCATCACGATCATACGGTTGCCTCCCGAGTTCTAAAGCATAGTACATTTTAGATATAGAACGACTAACGGCCATTTTCGCTAGAATAGCGAAGATGCGATATTTTAGTTTTTGCTTTCATTTTAAAATATTCTATGCAGAATATGTATATTTGATGAAAATAAAAAAACAGGCTAATTTTCCTGTGGAAACAGTCTTACAGTTATGATGGCATCACTTCTGTTATCTGTCATCATTAAAGACATTACTAACATTGAATATGATGTTATATGGCACATGCGATAGATGTTAGATTGCAGTGCCTAAAAGCATTGATTATCAGAAGATAGATAATGTATTCAGCACTCGTATTAAGTAACTTAAATAGTGATATAGTATATCTATTTTTTTACCATTATATAGGTTTTTAATTCCCAAGGCAATACTTGCGAGGAAGGTAATCGCCAAAAATTTCGAAATTGAAATATTATGATTTATAATTATTACAACCTCCTAAAACTTGAGATGTACCGCTCGGATTTTGATGAAATTTTCACACAAGGTTACTAAAATGCCAAGGATGAAAAAGCTGTGTAGTTTTTGAAAATCGGTCTAATAGTGGCGGAGATAGGGGCAAAAAAACGAAAAAAATAAATAAAAATCGCTTTTGACGTTTCAGAGACTTCTGATGATTTTCGGATTTTTTTTTGCAAGGGTTGAAACTTGAGGGTTGTTAGGGATAGGGGGTTGTGAATGTAACGTCTTTAGTGTTAGTCAAAGACGTTCTATCATTAAAACCTTCTGACTCCGGTAATAACGGGAAAATTAAATGATAAAAGTCCGATGTATTATGTGCTCATAATTCGAAATAATTTGGCAATCGGCGTTGCGTGCTCGATGCGATGCTGCATCGTCGTGAAGGCCACTGCCGACTGTGCGATAGATAACAAAATCCAACTGGTCTGCGGTGGTATCGTCACTGACACAATGCTATAAGAGAGATATTTGTATATTTAGCAATATTCGGAGATTAGGAGTACGTACCACTTCAGCGTCCTGCGATGCTTTAGTAAATGATGATTTAACGGTTTTTATATGTACACATATATTTACCTGAATTTTATCATCCTTATATGTACCACCCATTTCATCTAACCTTTAATTTGTGTTACTCCCTCTATGATGGTTCCCTGAATATTTCGTCAGGTAGAGTGACTCAGCACTTATGATGCATTGATTTACAACAGACACGGACCGTCAAACCGACATATATGAGAAACACGGACATATGTGATGCAGATATCTTCAAGCAACATAAAACTTAAGAACCAAAGTTCGAATATTAACGCGAGATTTATAATTCCATCGTTGAGGTAGTCGTAGATTTTGAAAATTGATTCAGAGGCCGCGGAAATAAAATCGCTGGAACATAGTGTTACAACATTTCAGAGATTCCCGCTCATTTTGAGACATTAGGGGGGATGAGAATTGTAGATTGGAAGCTGTATTCGGTAGATGGTTGTAAACTGTTGCACATTTGGTGTCAGTGAAAGACCTTCAATTATTAAGAAGCTGCTGATATCAGTGATACTATGCATCTGTTAGACATAATACTATAAGTCACAACACTATATAGTTTTTTTTACGTAATTACCCTGCCGGTTTCCAGAATTCGATAAATCTTAGCGCCATGTACGAGACAGTAGCAGAACACAAAAATAAATTTAAATATCCATTCTGAAAAGAATCAGCGTTTTTGGTTCTACTACTGTCTCACAGATGGCGCTGGGATCAACAATCTTTTTTTGGCCTCACTTATGTCCCTTTTAATTGGGTATCTTCAGGTGGAATACGTTATCTAGTGCCCCAACGCTATATCTCTTTTCAAGGCAGATGTCTAATTTCATTTTTATGTTCTACTACTGTCTCATAGATCTGGTTTGTTGCCATCAGAATACGTTAATCAATGCTAAAAGCTTTCACATATCTTCATACTCAGTCATCCGTACTAGGAAGATTTATATTAAGAGCCTTAACGCCAGCTTCTGAAAAGTTGCTGAAAGATTGTTATTAATAACTTTGGTATAATCCGGTTCAGAAACCCGTGCTCTATTCAGGGAAAAAAGTGTCAAACTCTGATGCTCTCTTCTTGGCATAAACAGGAGTTACGTCACTGATGCTGATTCATATTTATTGATTAAATCATTGTTAGATAAAATGAAAACATTGCAGTGACCCTTGTTACATCCTTGTTTAATATTTTATTGACATATTTTCCAATAATATTTTTGCATCTTCTCTCATGTGACTTTTCTTTTCTCCATCATATGATCGTCTAATTTGTTCTAAAAAGTTCTACAGTAAAACACCGGAGAAGATGCTGTGTTTGGAATAAAGTGCAACGCATCAGGACTTCTGTGTTTCACTTCAAAATTTGTACAGCAAATGGTACCACCCAAATCTATTGATAATAAAAACTGCCATTATAAATCAATAGTTTGTATCCTCACTTGTCTTTCTATCGTGGCTGCCCCCGATGTGACAACCATCCTATTTGCAGCAGACCCCTGCGATATCGAGTTAGCTGCGGCAGCAACTGCCGAAACAGCTGAAGACGATGACGCTGACGTTGTTGCCGATGAGGACGATGTGATAACGTTGCTCGATGATGAAGCGGCTGACACGGGTTGTGAACGCGCCTTTAGCACGGCCGCGTGTAGGGTTCCGCCTAGATAGCCGTAATCCTGCAATACGAGATACATGTTCATAGAGGGTGTTACAGAATGTAATCAATAAGTTTTACTGGTAAATCCAGTGCAATAAAATTATGTCGAAATAAACGTGAGCCTAGGAATTCCCTATTTCCAGGTTTAAACTTTCTAAATAAATTGTATGGCACTGTTCTTTTTTTTCGAACACTGTTTAATATCATTATTCAATTTATTAAATTCAAATACTTTCTTTTGAAATATAGACTTACTAGTTATGCTACTACTACAATTTTGCAGATGAAAATCTATACTGCCTCTAGTTTCGTAGTTATGATAATTACTATTCAATTTTATGGTTTTCTAAATGTGGTGGTAATAAATGATTTTTTAATTTGAATATGAAAACGAGAACTAAATAATATATGATTTTTTTCACATTCAACCACTGTAGTTCTAGTTTTACAAAATTGGACCTTATGAAGCAGATACTACATCACATCAGAGCCAAACATTCTTAGCTGAAGCGTCATGACGTTTAGGCAACACATGCAGCTAGAGAACAAGTGCACATCAAGTAAACAACAGCTAGTTGACATCTTGTAGAAACAACTACATAATCTCAGAAAAAAAACGACATAATGTCACTTTTCAAGATACGTAATACCCCTGCTGGACCTATGTTTACATAAATATTTCATACTTCAACGTGACGGTAGAAGTGCTAAAACACTGCATAATTTTTTCTTGAATATTAACTAACCTGTCGATACTCGTCCACGTTGTCTGGTGGTTGCCGTGTTGACCGCAAGATAGGGGCTAAAACCTTGACCAGTAATTGTTTAATGTGCCCTGAAGCGATTTTGTCAGTATTTGGTACCATGTTGATTTCCACTGACTCGATACGAGCGCCTAAACACAGGAAAAATAAATGAGTATATTTGTTTTTTAAAGTCGATTTATAAACCATGACGTTCCGCACCAGCGCGGTACCATCATTGCATTACAGGAATTCCACAACGTTCTCCCGCAACGGTGCCGGTAGGCTTGACGAAATTGCAACTTCCTGGTTGTCGTTCCCAATTCAACCAATGAAAGGTAGCCAGCAAATCATGTGTTTGCTGCCACAGTAATATCTCAAAATTCCCCATATCGGCACAGGACACATAATTCTGACCAATCCGTCAACGTCAGGCAGTCAGAGCTGTATTTTGTTTTGGTTTTTTGTACGCTACAGATTCATTTTGTACTTGCTAACAGCTCTTTTATATAGTAAAGTTCATTTGCATGCAAAAAAACAAAACGCTAAACACAAGGTTTACCATATTTATACCGGATTCATTATTGCCATCCTCGCAGACTAACACAAAAATGTCACTTGCTGATCAGCTGTTCACCTCAGTAGACGTCAAGGCGTGATGGATACTCGTGAAATAGGGTATATGTCGAAAAGAGTGAAATAGGGTATATGTCGAAAAGAGTGAAATAGGGTATATGTCGAAAAGTGTGAATTTTGGGTTAGGTTATGCGTCACGTGCGGTGACGTTAGCAAGATTATCAACTGATTTGAACTGCCAGCAACCGCGTTACGGCGTCGTCAGAGTTTCTAAATCGATCTTTATCATAGACTGGCCAAACCAAAAACATAGCGTCCAAAAAAAACCTTATGGCGTTTAACCACGTGTTGTTATTTGGCTGAAGATCATGCGGAGTTGCCAGATAAATAATACTTTTCATTTCAACAATTAATTGTCCATTACTTGTAGTGAAACATTAGGCATATTTTGATCAAATTAATTTCTATTTTTCCATGGTGGGGCTATTTATCATCTATTTGCAGACTACGAAATATACATTCTGATATTCATATTTTAGTAAATGCGATCAAAAAATATTTTCTAATGATGTGCATGTATTTTGGAAAATGAATGAACGGAGTAATTGTCTGCAATTTTACATTCTAGTCTATTAAATTTACATTGCTATATATTTTGGGTATTCATAAACTGATTTTTTAATTTCACCTTAAACATTTTTAAATTATAAATAATAAACACTGTTTAATATCATTATTTAATTTACTAAATTCATATACTTCCTTTTGAATTCCAGATTTGCCAGTGCTACTATTTTGCAGATGAAAATATATACTGCACCTAGTTTCATAATTATGATAATGACTATTTAAATGTGGTGGTAATGAATAATTTTTAATTTGAATATGAAAACGACAACTAAATCACATCTTTTTTTACATTCAACCAGTACAGTTCTTCTAACATAGTCTCAATCTTAGCATATTTGTCTTTACATATTTAAAATGATTCTCATAGCTTTTTTGTAGAAATTGTGATTATAAAAATATGTTTAATTTGCTGTGAATAAAACAGTTGAACAATATAAACAATACTGAGATTATAGGAAACTCTATAGTACTATAGTAATTTGTATTTTTTGATATTTTCTAAATAATGTATTTATAATGCTCTTGAAACAGTAGTTTACTACATATTTACATATGTACCCAGATATTTGAATGATTTTGTCATCATTAATTATGACCCTAATTGTATTGTCACCTGAATGTTTCCCTATTTTATTAGTGTTTAATTTAGGTTTATTTTAACCAATACCAATATCACTTTTGGCGGGTCCCAATGAGATCACGTTTATTACATGCAATTTTCCTCTATGCGCGGACGTTGGTTTCTGTAAAAGGTCACAGATATACGTTTTCAAGTCTGGTCCCACGGCTTTAAAGATTTTCTCTTCAAAGGATAATACTTCCACACTTTTACTTGCCATTATCAGTATACCATGTGCGTGCGATTAGACTTTACCTCTTGTTGATCTTCGATATAAAACATTTGCAATGCCTGAAGATACAATTACATTGTTGGCAGTCTGTGTTCAATTTTTTTTATTATCAAATGGTAAATAACAACAACCATCCTGTGATAATCAAATCATATGTATGCAATAGTAAGTAGCAGCTATCTTAAAGATCGGGTTTCCCAGTGTGCGATTCCCCTAGGTAAGTTGAGATCCGCAAATAATAGAGTTAAGACGATCTGTTTACTTATTTTGTATGACATTGTTATGTAATGTAGCATTTTCTAAACATTTTCTGTCACGTTGGCAACACTGCATGGTCACTTCCTCGACAAATGAGGTCATCTATGAGCGAACCGCCAAGACCAGGGCGGTTTCTTTAATGATGTCGAATCATCTATGAGCGAACCACCAAACCAAAACCAACCCACCTATACTCTTGACTCTGGGCAATATGAATATCCTGGCCACCTCCGTTCCCAATTCAGCCAATCCCTCCAGCGCACCGTACAGCGATGACAGCGCCACCTTGTCCGCTTGCTGCAAAGCGCCGGTGAACATGCGCGTGACGCGCGTCTGCACGTTATTGGTCGACGTGTTGAAGTTCTTGCAGATCTGCGCCATTAGGCGCGAGGCGAAGTCCCGCAGTGCCCAATGGTTATCGAGCTCAGGTCGCATGCAGAGTTGCTTCGAGACGATGCATGTTGTCACCGAGGGGATAAGCTCGTGAAGCTAAGGACAAAAGTGGGAAGTTTATTCGTTTATAGAATCAAAACATGTTTTATTAGAATTCATAAAAATTATGTATATACTAGAAATAAAAATAAACAAATAATTAATGCAACACCAAAAAAGGAAATAATTTTGAAATCATTTATATACTTAGGCCCAAAATTATATCATAACTTACCAATATATATGAGAAAAAAACGAATATCATTATTAAAAATAGATTTGCATGAATGGCTCTTGAATTCTGCCATGACGTGATTTATGAAAACACTAACATAAAATCTTTTCCGCATTACTAATCTACGATACAAAATTAACATTATGTAGATTGTTTCTAGCCCCTAAGAATTAATTTATTGTAACTACTGTGTTGTGTGTTAGCTGGATATCCACACACTCGAATATTTTCCTTTTGTGACATATCAACGTATTCATAATTTATAACTGATGTGAATAAATATTATTATTCATATAAAACTGGGGCAAATTTAAAATATTTCCACTAAACTCAAAACTGATATTTCGGTAACATCATTGATTAATCTATTCTACCTCAAGATAGCCAAAAATGAATCCGAAAAACCTAGCGTCATCTAAGAAATAGTAGCAGAACACAAAAATGATTTCAAACATCTACACTGCAAGAAGCTCCAGTGTTTGGTTCTGATACTGCATCATATATGGAGCTACCATGATCAGCCTTTTGTGTGGGCCTCTCTGGTGCATATTTTGATGGGGATTTAGAAATCTACTATGAAAAAGAGTTAATACTGTTTGGTCTTACTGATGGCGCTAGAGTCTTATATCACTTTTTGGCGCTTTTCTAATGGCTGTTATAAATGGCTATATTTAGGGGTTACTTAACATATTCCACCTAAAGGTACCTAAACATGCGCCCGGCAAATTCTGAATCCAAGGTCAAAATGGAAATCTATGTGTGAGATGCTTCAGGAGTATATAAATATTTTGGTACAAATAGTGAAGAAGATTGATGACGGTGATCCAAACTTATGTCCATTACAAGTATGTCAGAATTCATCAATGAAGCAATTCAGGACCAATTAACATCAACAATCTAAGAAAAGTTATCTCAAAATTGAAATCTAATAAAAATCCAAGTGAGAATCTCTCAAAAATTATTCTAAATGATTGTTTCAATATAATTGCAGAGAAATTATTATTGGTGAATCATTGTTTAGTACATGGTGAATTCCCATCAAAATTAAAGTGTTCTAACATCACTTCTGTCCCAAAAGTTCAAAATTCTCAACTGTATACAAATATGCGACCGATTAATGTCGTGCCCGATGTCGAGAAGCTGTTCGAAGGGATATACCAACAAATCATAGAATTCATTGAAAAAAACAACATTTTGATAAAACATCAAGCCGGATTTACAAAAAAATGTTCCACAGAAACGGCAATCCAAATGGTGGTGGAAGACTGGAGAAGAAGTATAGATGAGAAAGAATATATTGTAACAATATTTTTAGACCTCAAAAGGGTGTTTGAGACTATAGATAGGGAAATATTGTTAATGAAATTGCGTCACTATGGCTTTAAAGGATCAGTATTACACATTTTACAAAATTATTTAGTAAATAGAAGTCAAAAAACTAAAATTGGAAATATTATGTCAAGTGTTCAAAATATATCAGTAGGGGTGCCACAGGGGAGTAAATTAGAGCCGTTACTATTTATTATTTATATAAATGATATCTTTGACATTTTAGAACGCTGAAAAATTCAAATATTTGAGGACGATACACATATATATAGCACATAAGCATTTGGACACTGCTTTAGAACTGTTTAAATAGTGATATTGAAAAAATTATGAATTGGGTGAATGTCAATAAACTTAAATTAAATACTTATAAAACAAAATGGATGTCAATAGGGAAACATTTAGGTGACAATACAATTAGGCTCATGATTAATGATGAAAAAATTGAAGTAGTCGACTCATTTAAATATCTTGGTATATATAGTCAACGCCAAACAAAGTGGCGTGCACGTCATCAAGGTGGGTGTGTTGAAAAATTTACATTGTTGCCAAACTTTTTGTAAAATAATAAAATTTATTATTTACATATCTAGGTTTATAAGCAATATTAACCTCAAATGAGAACAAAAATAATAGTATAATAAAATTATAGATCTGTACTTGCATAATCATTAAGTATGACAATTATTGATCAGATGACACTATGAAACTACCATATTTAATTGATAGCTTAAAGGTACTGAATAAAAATCCAAATGGGGTCCTCCAAATTTTATGCATGGTATTTATTTTACAGAATTCATACAGAAAAATGCATTCTAAAATTAGGTAAGCTACTGGTGTAAGCTTTTTCTGTACAATAAAGTTAGTCGGAGTTTCTTTCTTCAGCGCTGTCTGAATCTGAATCTTCATCACTCTCAAAGTTGATTATTAAAGGTTCGATGTCTGGTCGATCAAAAATTCGTTCTCTTTCATACCATTTAAAAATTTCTTGCTCAGTACGTTGAACACTATTTTTCCACATGTCTGGGGTAACCATTTGTAGAGCCTCGTTCCACATATCCAAACAGTCTTTTTCACTGTTACCATCTCTACCAATATGTCTGTTATAGTAACCTTTTGCTATGCCCCAAATTAACTCAATAGGGTTAAATATACAATGGTAAGGAGGCAGACGAAGAACTTTGTGCCCATGTTTTTTAGCAGTTATTTTAAGAATAGGAATAAACAAAAGAAATATAAACTGTCGACCAAAATATATATAATTAAGAAGCATTATGTACCGAGCAACAATACTCAATAGCTCTGTTTTAAACATTGTGTTTAAAAATGGTATGTTTTGATTTGTCAACCAGTCTTGGATATTTTTTTTTTGTCCATGCATTGTTGGGCACTTTGTTCAATATCATGCTGTGATAAGGGGCGTTATCCAGTATAATCATAGATGGACTCTCCAATTTTTCTAATAACTGATGTTGAAACCATTTCAAAAAATTGTCCTGGTTCATCTCTCCATGGTAATCGCTAAATTTTGTTTTCGAAGAAAATATCGCTTCACTACCCTCAATAAACCCATTTTCATTTCCAGCATGTAATATAATGTATCTAAAATATATTAGTTTTAAATTTTATAGTGCAAATTGTGTAAAAGTACATACCTTTTACCATCTGTTTTAATAGCTTTCACGCTTTTTTGGTTTCCATTTTGCCAAGAGCGACCTATGGTCCCATTTTGAAATATCCAAGTTTCATCGAGGAAGACAAACTGGTATAAGGCCTCAACCTTGGCTTGATTGTATTACCTTAGAAATTCCACCCTTTTCAAAGCTATACTTGGTAGTTCCATGAGCCCTCGTCGCGGATTGTCCTTAAGCCACTTAAATCCAAGATCTCTAAGCAACCGCCTTAAAGACGTGGCACTACCATCAAATAATGCCCTATCTCTTAATCGAGACCATAAAGTTTGTATCGTAACATGTTCTTCTGAAACCATGTGTAATATGACGTTATAATTTAGTTAACAAATTAATGCAAATTTCTGATAAGTTATTATAATAAGATCTTACTTTTGTGATACATATTATAGATCACTTCTCGAATGGCACTTGTATCCAATGTCGCTGTGTTGGTTACACGTTTAATATAACTCCGCTTTTTCTTGGGCGATTCTAAATTTGCATCACTTTTCACACCCTCGGAAATACGACTAACTGTCCTTAAACTAATTTTTAAAGCAGCAGCAACACGCTACAAAAAATGAAATAAAATTTCACTATTATTAATATACATTACATATAATTATTAGTAACCTACCTCTTGAACAGCATTTAAAGGCAACAAAGGCCCGTTGTTGTCCCTTTCTTGCTCAAAGTAGTGCATTAACGAGGCCACGAGTTCCTTACACCGACTATTTAACTGTTTGGGCATCTTTATATACCAAAATTGCCTTTATCTACTCGTAAAATGAATAATTTTGTTTTGAAACAAACAGTTGTTGATTTACAGTATGCGGGGCCAAAGGATTTATAATGATTTGAAATGCCACAAATTGATTCAGTGTCAAAATTAATACAAATGTCAGTTCCCAGTTTAAATAAGTTTCAAGGTGACAATGTGTCAACGCTGCGAAATCGGTTTAGTGCGTTTACATGTCGATAAGTGATTGGAGCGTTTGCAAAACATTTTATTTCGCATAATGCGTCTAAATTTATCAGAAAGCAACTTATGTGATATTTTAATAACAATGTTTATATGACTATTAACCATAATAAGAGAGTAATGACCATTTTACAATTTATATATCACATTAATATGAAACTGCAATAGAGCAATTGTTTGTGATAGAAACCTAGCAATTAGGTCGGGGAATTTTTATCGTGATGACGTGCACGCCACTTTGTTTGGCGTTGACTTTATGTGGATACTAAGCTACTGTTTCACGAAGATTATGAATACATTATTAATTTAAAAAATATCGAAAAAGATAAATTACTTCTATAGAGTTTCCCATAATCTTAGTATGTATTCCAAAAATTCACACAATTCTTCCCCATTTTTTATATTGTTCAACCATCTGGTTTACAGCAAATGAAAACATATTTTCAAAATTACAAATTCAACAAAATAAAGCTATGAGAATCATTTTAAATAAGAGCAAATATGCTAGGATTAAGTCTATGTTAGAAGAACTGCAGTGGTTGGAGGTGAAAAATTTCATATATTATTTAGTTCTCGTTTTCATATTCAAATTAAAAAATCATTTATTACCACCACATTTAGAGAACTTTACAAAATTAAATAGTCATTATCACAACTACGAAAATAGAGGCAGTATAGATTTTCATCTGCAAAATTTTAATAGTAGTATAACTAGTAAATCTATATTTCAAAATGGAGTATTTGAATTTAATCAATTGAATAATGATATTAAACAGAGTTCGAATTCAAAAATGTGCAAGGTGAAAATAAAAAATCACTTTATGAATAATCAAAATACACAGTGACGTAATTTTAATTTTAATAGACAAGAATGTAAAATTACAGAAAACGGATTGAAGAAAAATATGTAACCGAATCATTATGCAAAATTGACATTGTAGCATTAATGCTAAATAAATCTTCAACAACAACAACAATGGTATCAGTTGAATAATTTCTAGATAAATACCTAATACCTACCAATAAATGTTGATAAACATATCGTTTTTACTCATAGTAGAAGCTGTTATGAGTGTAGTTAAAGACCTAGGCGTCTACCTCGATTTTAAGCTAACATTTACAGATCACTACCAGTATATTATTGACAAAGCTAATAGCATTGTGAGACTGATATTACGAACATCTCGACATCTTAGTGACTTGAATTGTATGGACAAGCTTTTTTCCTCATTAGTAAGATCGTTATTCGAATACGGGTCAACCATCTGGAACCCATATTACGAGATGTACAAAAAACGCATTGATGCCAAGCCTTACAAAACAAGTTTTTATGGAATCTACAATATAGAATGAGGCAGGGAAATGAACATCTGCAGATTGAGTACATGAGGAGACAACATGTTGTACTGCAATAGATTTAGCAGACATTCCCAAAATCTCACGCTGAATCAGCCCATCTCTTATGTAAGTGATAATGCTGATCCGGATTTTTATATATTATGTCATATTTTTAATTTGTGACTTTTAAATGTAGTGTGATTACGATTTTTAAGCATTTAAGTCATCTTGTATAAACATTTATGTCTGTTAAACATTCAAATTTCTTGAATTTTCTATTGTAAAATGCTTTAACATTAAGATAAATAAATAAATAATCATATGCTTAATGTTATAAAAAGAAACTGTGACCTGCATACTTACATACTTTTCCAAGTAAAGTGATTGATTGTCTAGAAGGGCTTTCACCATCCTCATAAGATAAATTAAAAGAGCCAAATTATTCTGTACAACATTCACTCTCACACCTTCTATAATGAAGGTACACATCCTAGGCAGCATCTCATGTAGACCAGGGTCAGATGCAAGGCTTTGCAGAGCTTCCTACAAGCAAAAAACAAAGCTATGATTGATTTCATAAAATTTGTCAGCTCAACAGTATAAACAATATGGAGTATTTCATAAATTGGACCGAACACACAGAAAGGGATAAACAATGAAGCCCGGTTTTTAAATCGCTAATTAGCTTTCAAGTTTGGTAACTATAACTTGTAAGTTAACTATTAGTTGTAAATTCATTATTCAATATCTGGTTAGCCAACACATTACGGTTGATTTGCCTTTACGTCTGAAATATCGTATTTGTGTTGTATCATCCGCGACTACTCATATCACTGTCAAGCAAAAAAAAAGTTAGAAGTTGAAGTGTAACTACAACTTTCTAGTTAATGAGTAGATAGTCTTATGGTTAAAGTTAACTACCGTTTTAGGACAAATCTGACATTGAAAAACACATTTGAAGAGTTTACTTCTGGTTAGCTTTAAAATCACAATTGAACTACTACTGAAAAACCGGACCTAAGAATGCTAGAATTTTTAATTCTACATATTAATTTTTGCACATAGGGTATTAGTAAAAAAAAATTTTTGTATTGATTTGTATACTTACAGCTCTCCTGCCTTCATCAGATCCAACACAAGCTTCCGTAATTTCTTTATAATAAAGTTGCTGTTCTACTGACAGTTCATGCGTCGCTAGTTGTTTGATTTGTACAGTCTCAACATTTCTCAGTTTTTGCTTGCCTGTTGTTGGTTTTCCAGATGTTTCTTTTACTGGTTTTTTATTTGCTGGGTCAACTGATTCTTGCTGACAAAATAATTACATAATAAAATATGATTCAAGAATGCTTTTGATACTCTTATGCATTTATATTAGGGTTGCAGCAGATAGTAAAGTAGCCTGATGACATATATATCTGGTTCATTACTTTGATTGAAATCACTCATAGAGCCATTTACCTTAAAGTGAATATTCTTCCAGCAGTGGAGCAGATACGCTCCCACCTAGCAACAAACTCACAAAACTTTTTTGAACTCATTCAATGAGGTGGTGGATGCAAAGACCTTGGACCATACAAACTGTCTCACAAAAAATGCTATTGGTAGAGAACATTTAGCTGAAACTGTTAGAAGTAAGTAAAGTGATAATCATCCTTATAGCAGTGTATAGAGTGCAAGGTTATCTTGTTTTATTTATATTAGCTACTCAGGCAGGGGTTATGACAATCCTTAGTCTTCAGTGGTATTACTTTTGTATTATTTGTTCATAAGTTGATTCTATTATGTATTGATACTCCAATGAATATTATTATTATTAAGGCATGCATAATGTACGTGCAGTGAAACCAGCTTTAGCCTGTAACCATAGAAAAACTCACATTCACTGTTGGTAAATTTTATTTACTAATTCAGTGATAATGGTGGATACCAGATGGTAACTGAATATCTGTTGCAACCCTAACTTATATACCTACTCAAGACATGTTTGTTTGCCTAGTGTGAAATAGTCAAGTCAACCTTATCTAACTGTTAGAATATTAGCTGTATAAAGCAACTTGACCACAACAGGTGGTGAGCACCAACCAAGAGAATGCAAAAGTAAGCCTATTACTTGCTGAATATATTTTAAATCTGTGAAATTATTGACATATAGAAATATTTTAGAACACTCATTTACAAAATTGTAGTAGCAATATAACAAACAAATCAGCATTTCAAAAAGGATTGTATGAATTTAATAAATTAAGTAATGATATCAAGATGTGTGCCAGTTTGAAAATGTTTAATTAGGGAAATCAAAAAAATGTTTCATGATAAAACAGAATTCATAGTAGTGAAATTTTGTTTAAAAATATGTAGTCTTGAAGACATAATATACATATTATGTGATATACATATTTGATATTGTAACATCAATGCTAAATAAATCTACAAAAAATAAACAAACCCATTATGAAAAATAGCCTTGCATAAAAGAAAAAAAAACTTTTTTATATACCAAATTGGGAAAACTAGATTTAACAAAAATGGTTGTTTCAAGAAAAATTGAGTTGAGCTAAGCAAAAGTGGAGCAAAAATTAGTACAATATACTTTGGCAAAATTATTTTGAGGCCAAAATCTAAATTTGTTTTGTACCTTTTGCGCACTTTTTGTAGCAGGTGGGGGATTTTCAGGTATAGTTGGCTGAATACCATCAATGCAGAGCCAATGGGACCTGAGTGTGCATTCCAAGGGAGCTTTAGGGTTCATATTCTGCAGTAAATCATTCAGATCAACTTCTTTTTCTTCAATAAAGTGTAGTTCTCTACCACCTCCTGAGGCAAATCGGAATGGCAAAGGTTCAGATGCTTGGAAACCATATTGGGGCTAAAATTAGGGAAATTATTAAAACATTTGCACTTATCACTACAAAACCCTATTACCTCAAAGCTCTTGACTTTAAGAGCAGCATCCACATCTGAAGGCATTAATTTCGTACGCTTGGCATGGTGCATGAATTTAGCAGCATCTTGAATTATATGTTTCACTCTATATGAAAGATCCTCTGCAAGTTCTTTGGCTGCATCATCATCTGCTAAAAAACCTATACCTATAAAATTAAAAATTGGTTCATTAAAATACAACTCATTCATTTAATCAGGTTTTATGATACAGAGATTGTAGAATGCAATATGTGACTTCTATGCGATTCCACGTATATGGTATTTTTTGCTGCTTACCTATACTTTCTGCTATCACCTTAACCGATTCTATAGAGAAATTGGTGCCATATAGGTCGTGTTCAGTTAATTTGGACATATTTTACAGTAGTTAAAACCGGTAAGACCTAAAGCAAGATCCTACAATAATTATGTTCAGTCTGAAGCACTGTGAATAAGAATGTACGTGTCACAGAATCTTTTGGTGGAGCTCCGAGGCCCTCACGATGCTATAGATAGACAGTCGCACAGCGATTTCGATTAAAAAACAAATAATTAGTATGATCACAACATCTACAAACCAATCAATCAACATGATCAACAACATAACCAAAATATTTTGGAACTGTCATAAATGTCAATCATGGAGTACTGAAAGAAGAAGGCAAGGATGAATAACAAAAAGAAGTAGCTATTATAGGTATCATACAAAAAGTATTCATATAATAACAATAGATTTCAAAACAACATTTTTTCGCTAGAACACATCTATTTGCCAAATCCAACAATTTCATTATAATCTATGATTTAACACTAACGTAGATTCTATGAGTTCTAACAAAGCATCGCCTAAAAATCAAATAAGAGGAAATTAAAACTATACAGGGTGTTCAAACCCTACCGACGTTGGCAATAGTGAATCGTGTGTAAATCTAGTAAAACTAGCGTTTTGTTTTTTGCATGCAAATGAACTTTTCTAAATAAAAGAGCTGTTAGCAAGTACGAAATGAATCTGTAGAGTACAAAAAACCAAAACAAAATACAGCTCTGGCTACCTGACTTTGACGGATCCGTCAAAATTATGTATCTTGTGCCGATATGGGGAATTTTGAAACATTACTAGATAACTAGCTGTCATTGTTCCGTGATGGATACTCGTGAAATACGGTGTACTGACTTCGACGATAACTTGACCATAACATGACCATAACCATCAAGGTCATTTAGAGGTCAACTTGGACATTTTAAATGGGACCATATCTTTTACCCACCGATAGGCAGAGCGAAAATCACTACTTTTTTGAAACTGAAACTGACATTCAAGGTCAACCTTGAAAATCAAATTGGACCTGTGTAGTGTGTAGTTTATAATCCTCATGTCTGTACAAAAGATAAATAACCTTGTGATTAATTGATCTATGAGTCACGTTGTGGTCATGGTCAAAAGGTCATTTCAGATGAAGAATTTTCTGCTCTGCATCGATAGGATAAAAACATACAGTTGAACAACTGAAGAGTGAGGGGTGGGATACGTCTAGGTTCTTGGGAAAAAATGTCAAACTTGGGCATCGAAGTTTTTGTATTTGTAAAAAAGCCTACTGATATGTTACCTGCAGCAGTAAATATGTTTTTCAGTAGTGCAGACGCAAAGTCTTGAAGTCAATATAGTCAGAAGGCAGCTTAACACCAGGCCAAGTTTCTTCTGTTGGATTACCAAACACTGAGAAAATCTTTGTTAGTTGATCCAAATCGGACTCTCTTAGAAACAGTCTCAACACAAGATCTACTAAAAAACAGCCTCCCTGAAAATTAATTAGCAGCAGCCCAACATTTTGCTTTTAGAAAATGATCTATTTATTACTAACTGCCCATATGTCAATACATGTCCCATATATTGTTTAGCTCCATATATAACGGCTCTGGAGCTCTATACCATCTTATTGTAACTACTTGATGGGTATTCACTCTATTTGGTGATCCATATAGCTTAACGAGGCCAAAATCCCCTATCTTTAGAACTCCAGCAGAATTGAGTAACTTGTTTGGTTTTAGATCTCTATTCAATATCCATAGTTGCGAAATGCAGGTACTTCAGCCCTCGCGGTAAAATTGTTGGTGCATTCCATTATACTCATCGATTAACGTATTTTACCAAAAGATACCCAACCTAATACTATATTCTAGCGTTCGGAAAATGATCCGAGATGAAATATGAGACAGCGTATCATTGTCACCTTAGGGAATTTGACACAGCTATATGTTTCCCCTCTCAATACTAAATACTTAGTTTGAAATCTACTTCGAAAAGGTTAGTATCTCAATATCTCATAGAACATAGATGAAGATGTAGAAAACTATTACTGTGACTATTATATTAGCATGTATTTTGCTTCAGTGCCACCTATATGAGACACTAACCTTTTGAAAGTCGATCTCTGATTAGTGCTGACATATTACTCGTCGTTGCTTCTCAAGGCGGTCGAGGACCTTTGCATTTAGGTGGTGCTGACATGTGAAGAGGAAAGCAGATATGTCACAAATTCAAATTTTGGATGCAGGAGCATATACTATTAGGTCAACTATCTTCAGGTAGAATATATTAATCAGTGGTACTTATACTTGGCAATAATTATTAAGTAGTTTGATCGGAAAGCTTAATGTCATGTTTATATAAAGAAAATCTTTAAAAGGAAAATGAAGTCTGATTTTGATTTTGGCGGGGCAATTACTGCAATTCTACTTGGCAACATTGCTGTCATGATGGAAACTGGGAATGTTCAAATACAGCAGAAGGGTGGGCATCAAATATATCTAGTTAAAATATATACCCTATTATTCCACGAATATACATAACAGTAGAATGACAGCCGATTATCTAGTAATATCTCAAAATTCTCCATATATCGGCACAGGACACATAATTCTGACGGATCCGTCAACGTCAGAGCCGTATTTTGTTTTGGTTTTTTGTAAGCTAGATTCATTTTGTACTTGCTAACAGCTCTTTTATTAGAAAAGCTCATTTGCACAAAACGCTACAAAACAAGTTTTATTAGATTTACACCAGATTCATTATCGCCAACGTCGCAGACTAACACAAAAATGTCACTTGTTGTTCAGCTGTTCACCTCAGTAGACGTCAAGGTGTGATAGATGCTCGTGAAATAGAGGGTTGGCGCACTATCATAAAACAGGGGGGCATTTATTATACAGGTTGTGTCAAAAAAGGAAAACAAAAACCAAACAGCGCAATAAAATATAACAGAAAACTGTAATAAAAAAAAAATGATTATAAAAACCAATACAATATTACAAATAACTGTCAAACAACAGAGCATTTATCACGCAGTCATATTAAAAAAATATCACAGGAAATTAAAAAATAAAAAGCATATGACTAAAGGCTATTTCTGTTTTGCATAAAAAAATTGAAGTTTTTGAGTTACTTAAACTTAGTTACTGTCTGTATCAGATTCTTCTGGTTGCACTTCCGTTCTCTCTATACTATATAAATTATTTTTGTATTTTTTAAAATGTTTTTCACCAAACTCGAAGTCTAAAAAGCAACATTTTTTTGTATTGTATCCAGTTTGATAACTATCGCGAACAAAGTTGAAGGTAAAATACGATTCCTTTTCTTTGTTTTGATTATCTCCGTATATGAGAATGTCCACTCGACATCTGCATTAACCATGTGGCAAATGTTAAAATTATTAGACATACTTTGGAAATACACTTCACAGGTTGTTTTCCACCTACTACCATCTATACGCGTCTCCGTTGAATAAGAATTATTACAGACCGGTGGTTACCACGGTCGATTGGAAAGATATCTGTATTTAGATTTGGTTACTAACTGCACTCATTTTTTTTCTTCTGGTAAAAATATCCATCATGTGTACCTAAATTGCAAAATTCCGCTACTTTTAACAAAAAATCCAATTCCGCCGCTACCACTTGAAAATTCCGCTACCAGTAGCGGAATTCCGCTACTTCTGGCAACACTGTCCACCAATCATTACATAAATAGTGTGGTTTAACGATCAGGTGTGCCACTATTTCTTATTTCTTTATTCATTGGTTGATCTACCTTAATCTGTCCTGTCATCGTGTAATCCCCATCGAAGTCGAAGAGGTTAGTTTTAGTTGTTGGTTGTTGAGCAACAGATCTTTGATGTTGGGCTTACACAATGAGGTCTTTCACTTTCACCAAGAACATTTTTCCCTGTTTTTCGGATAAATTTTCTTGAGAACACTGTCGAGGGAAAATGGATAAGCCTCGACCGTGCGGGTGCAAGGGGCGCAGAACCTGCATTTTATGCGAAAAGGAATACAACATATCTCCAGAGAACACTCATTTGAACTTGGAGAATGGTTCGTACATGTACTGCCCTTGGTGCAAGAAGGCTTGGCCTGGCTGGGATTTGAACGAGTACAAGCGTCACCCTGATCACACCGGAAACCCGTTGCATTTCCCTGGAATCTTGATTGATCTAGATTTCCTTTCAAAGACGGAAGAACTGGAACTCGCTTCTAGCCTTGATAATTTGCCATGGGACTCATCACAGAGTGGGCGCAGGAAACAAAACTTTGGGCCAAAATGTAATTTTAAAAAACGAAAACTAAGACTGGGTGATTTCAAGGGCTTTCCAGAAACAACAAAGTTTGTCCAAGAAAAATTTGAAAAAATTCCCATCATGAAAGGATTTCAAACAATAGAACAGTGTTCCTTAGAGTATACTCCTGAAAGAGGTGCCTCAATAGATCCGCATATTGATGACTGTTGGATTTGGGGTGAAAGAATAGTGACTGTTAACTTACTTTCAGATTCTGTACTCACAATGAGTTACAATCAAAGGAACCAACGACTTACCTGTAGGAAGTTTGTTCCAGATTATATGAGCTATACTCGTCCAATTAGATCACACACGTAGTAACACCATTTATGCTTTGTCGAGCACAACATTTTTATACAAACAAAATACCTATCTATCTTGCGTTTCTTATCGGCCCAGGCATATGAATCATTACACTGTTGAAGTCGAACTTCAAAAGAGTAATTACCCGGGAAGGGTTCAGGGTGGGAATCTAATTGGACGAGTATAGCTCATATAATCTGGAACAAACTTCCTACAGGTAAGTCGTTGGTTCCTTTGATTATACTTCGCTATACTCGTCCAATTAGATCACACACGTAGTTATTGAAAGTAATAATTACTCTTTTGGAACTCTTGGTATTGCAAATAAATAATAATCAATGAGATCACTAATAGAACCACTTTTTATTGCAAAACTTATTTTAATTCAAACCATATGTATTCAAATACTTTTAATACTACTAATATAACATTCTTATTATATATATAGGAAAAAAAAAAAATGCCTTAATGTAAGGCCTATATCCCTAACTATATACTAGCTTTTATTCATTAACATAGACTCCAAAAAATTTAATTCACTTTGCAGAGGTCTGTTATAGAACCTAGCAAATACTTCTGACTTTTTCGTCCAACCAGCTAAATTCTTAATACTATCAATGTTCATTCCCGCTCTAGCAGCCGCTGACGTTGTTGCATGTCTGACACTATGGCTTTTAAATTGGTCAGTATTTATACCGCTGTTTTTCATTACATCTTTTGTCCAGCGACTTATAGATTGCGGAGATGCTATATGAACAGGATTCCGATAGGTTAAAATTAAATATTCTTCGTTTCCCCTAATTGGTTGAGTTATTTCCAAATACCTAATTAATGTTTTTACAACACATAAATCAGGACGTTCGATAAATATATCAAATTTTAGCACTGGCTGTTGACGATTATAATTTGATGTTTTTAGCATATCGGTAATATAAATATCTATACCGATCTCCCTATGTACTATATTTTTAACTTTTCTAAGTGACAAGGTCATTTACCATTTTTCAATATAATCCAATACTACTATAGGATCCCAGGTAATATTATATTTAGGAAAACTAGGTTTTTCCCGAAAGGCACCTTTCAAAAAACGCTTAGTTAATTGCTCATCTGTAGATGAGATATTCAAAATTAAAGATAAGGCAGACTTATGAGCATTTAATGTGGCAAAAGAAATATCTGTCTCAAGGAGAAGGCTTAAAAAGGAGATAATATGACCAACACTTGCGACGTATGGTCTCAGTCTATTTTCCTTACAGTAAACCCACCATTTACGGAGAGTACCACTATATTGCCTCAATGTAGATTCACTTAATGATTTAATCATTAATGGTATAGCTTCTTCAGGAACTTCTTTTTCTACAAAGGATCCCCGGATAATATCGACGCCACTAGGGGTATGTTCTTCCAAAATGGATGGCTGGTTCTAAATGGAGATAAAAGTAAGTTTTTATTGGGTTTAAAAATTAAGGGTTTTGTTGACGAAAGTCTTAGAAACAAAGAAAACCATGATTGATTGGGCCAGTAGGGAACTACAAGTATTCCTTTAGATTTATCTTTAATTAGCTTATTCAAAACCCGTCCAATTATGGGAAAAGGAGGAAACGCGTAAAATTTCCAGGATTTATCCCACTTAATTGTAAATGCATCAGATGTTAAGGCTCCTGGATCTTTCAACCATGAAATATATGTATTACATTTAGCATTTATCCTAGACGCAAACAAATCGATATTAGGCTTACCAAACTGTTTTACTATTTTAGAAAAATTCTTACTATTTAACGAATATTCCATCTCAATATTTAAAATTCTCGATTGTTCATCAGCAATTATATTATCTTTGGATGGTATATATGAAGCATAGAGCATTATTTCCCGTTTTTCGCACCATAGCCATATTTGTCTACTTAGATTACTCAATTTCTCAAATTGTATGCCTCCCATTTTATTTATATAGGCTATGGCCGTTTTATTGTCTACACGCAGAAGAATGTTACAGTTTTTTGACTCTGAAGCAAAACACTGCAATGCATAATGAATTGCCAAAAGTTCGAGAAAATTAATGTGATGTTTCATATCTTCTTGATCCCAAAACCCATGGGTAACTTCTGTATTACATGCAGCCCCCCATCCCGTTTTGGAAGCGTCTGTATAAATTTCGTAAGCATATTCTTTACTACCCAAATCATTAAAAGATGTGTCTATTGTCTGTTTCCACCACAGTAGTTCCCTACAAATAATCTTTGATACTATAATTTTAGAATTATAACTTCTAAATCTCTTTAAACTCAAAAATTTTGCTCGTTCTAATCTGTTAATATGCAACCATCCGTATTGTACAACCGGACAAGCTGAAACTAACAATCCAATAATTCTTGATAACTCTCTTATTTTACATGTTCTCTTCCTAACAAAAGTATTAATTGCATTTAAAATTGCCTGTTTTTTATGTTTGGGAAGATAAAATGTCATGTTCTTACTATTGTAAACATATCCTAAATATTCACAAACTTGACTCGGGACAATTTTTGATTTTTTAAAGTTTATTAAAAAACCCAATTTTCTCAAAGTGGACAACACTATAGCTATACTCTTATCTACTTCACTTTTAGTTTTTCCTAGCAGTAAAATATCATCCAAGTAAATTATACCCAGGATTCCGAGTTGCCTAAAATAATTAAATATTGGTTTTAAAAGCTTAGTGAAAACATAGGGTGCCGTAGATAAACCCATAGGCAAGCAATTAAATTCAAACAGTTTTTCCGCAAATTTAAATCTAAGAAATTTCTTATCTGTATTATTTATTGGTATCATATAATAGGCATCTTTTAAATCGATTGTAGCCATGTAGATATTTCGAGAAATTAAATCTTTAACAGATTTATAATTATCCAATTTGAAATGAGGTGCTTTCAAGAACTTATTGAGATACTTTAGATTTAATATAAAACGTTTTGTTTTGTCGGCTTTTGGTATAAGAAAATAGGGAGATAAAATTTGGTTCTCTACTGGTTGACATTGACTGATTACTCCCTTGTTCACTAAATCCAAGATGGCAGCGGAATAGTGTCTTATCTCATCTTCCTGCATTTTCTTTGGAAGATAACTATATTGAAAAGGATTTTTGAAAAATGGCATCTTATATCCCTTGACCCACGACAAAATGGTCTTATCCTGAGTAAATTGCAGCCAATTTGCCATATAATGTTTTATTCTGCCAGCATATACACTGGTACCCACCTCTATTTCTGGTAATTGCGTCTCTGGTACACTTTGTCGTGGCGATCCTTCCCTTGAGCCCGGTCTCTTCCTTGAGGGCGACCTTTCATTCTTCCTTTGTGGAAGTGAGGCTGGTAGTTTAAAGATACCGAAGGTCTCTTCATGAGGTTACCTCTGAAGGACTTATCAGGAAAAACGTTATTTGAGGTAGATGGCAGCTGTCTTGACGAAGATGGATGAGCATTCTTCATTTCTTTCCCCGTTCTCCATTGGGCCTTAACCTCTTTGAATTTATCGGCAAAATTTTTACCACACAAAAATTCGTCAGGTTTACTTTCTCTGACGATTTTCTTCACTGTAGAGTTTAAGTGCCCTTCTACGTGATATTTCCGGTTTGTGGACATCATGTGGAAAACGCCACACAAAATTTTGCCAGCGTCCACCACACTTGGGTAACATTTTGGATTTAAAAACCATCGAGGCTGCATCCGGTGCTGCTACATCTTCTTTCAACATACCATCAATTACCCCTGCGATGGCAGCCAGTGCTACGCCCACATGCTTCTGAATAGTAGAAACATATTTGTCCTCTTTTTTGACAGGATCGCCTAAGGTTGCTTCCAATTCCGGGTTCAACAAAGGGGCTCGTAAGTAAGGAATATTTTTGGGAATCAGGTATTTTTTGTCCAACTCCTCCTTGTCCGATTTCTCTAAACCTAATGTCACGTACTTGGTCCATCGATCAGCCAGAGATTTGTGAACCTCGCTTCCTAATACTGGCTCACTTCCCGACGGAATTTCGCCCAGGAGTCTGAGAATTTCCGGATTTTCATCTTGAGATTGTTCTTCAACTACAGGAGGAGACCTCTCTGCCTCATTGATTATGACTTCTGGCTCTAAATGTGTATACGTTTGTCCCGTACTATATACACTGCTTATACTTCCTGATGAATCAGAATCCGAGCTGGATTCACCTAAAAAATATATACAGTCCTCCCTACTTGCGCATGCAATATCCTTAACATATTCTGTAGAATATGTCCTGGGTTTAACGGTTTTACCCTATTTATACGTTTTTCACGTTATGTGAAAACTGCAAAAGGCTTTAACGGTTCTAGCCCATTCTTAATACATTAGGTTTAACGATTTTACCTAAAAACAACTTACTAGTGCTCTTACACCTCGCCGACTTTTCTTGTCAATTTTCTCTAAACTCTTAATTAGTTTCCGCCGTTTTCTCTCCAATCTTGCAGCATCACTACTTGTTTTTCGCTTCGGCATTTCACGAATTTCCACCAAAATGTAAATAAACCGGTCCGTACTCGACGAAGCACAACAGTGTAATGATTCATATGCCTGGGCCGATAAGAAACGCAAGATAGATAGGTATTTTGTTTGTATAAAAATGTTGTGCTCGACAAAGCATAAATGGTGTTACTACGTGTGTGATCTAATTGGACGAGTATAGCGAAGTATAATGATAAACCTACAAGGTATAATCTAGATTGTGTAGAAACTTATCCTGCTGTACTTGATGGACATGGTGAACTTAGTGATAGCAATGAGCCATTTAAAGTAAGACCATTGAATGGTCAAATTTCATTTCCAATAATAAGGATTCCAATGCCTTGTAGATCATTACTAGTTATGTATGGGTCAGCTAGGTATAATTGGGAGCATCGTATCTTGAGGGAAGATGTTAAAATGAGGAGAGTTTGTTTGGCTTATAGGGAATTTACACCACCATATTTGAAAGATGATAAATCTAAAGACGTTTTGTTGGAAGCTAAAAACTTTTGGTAATAATATCAAATTTTAGATCATTAAAAAAATATAATACTAGTATAAAGTGAAGATTTCATTCTGAAATACTTAATTTTTTTGTGCATATAAAAGGACCTATGTCAAATGATAAGAAAGTTCTCACATTATGAATGTATTTTTATTTCATATCTCCAAGTTCAAAAACATACATTTAACATGTTCACTATGAGGATTAACAGGTCTTAGTTTTCTATTTTTGATAGTTCCAAGATATCTGTATAATAGATCATATTAGATATACTATATTTTTTTTAAGGAGTTTTTGCAATCAACTGTTTATATTATCCAAGAGAAGTGTATGGAACTATTTGCTACCATTTTTTCTTTACACTCTGATGGCCATATTATAACTGACACAAATATTCTAATGTCATGTCAGTCATAAGGACTGACATTACATAGCTATATCCACTTCTTATTTAGCACGAGTTGAGTTTTGCATTAATTATATCAGGTTTGCATGAAAATGAAGTGAAATATTTATATTGTTGAGTTTTGTAGGCAAGCATTCAATGTGTAAAGATGAAAGAAAATAAAAACGGTATTCTGAAATACAGAAATAAAAGTTGAATGAAAACATTTATTCTCATTTTATTCTATACATAATATCAAGTAAAAATAATTTATATAAGATCCTAAATGCTTAATCTTCATATACCCAGCAGTCATTGGCAGGTGACCAGGCAACAACTTCCTTCTCTGTGAACCACAGACCAATTTCCTTCTTTGCAGACTCCACAGAGTCAGATCCATGGCAAATGTTGCGACCCATCTGGATGCAAAGATCTCCTCTTATTGTACCTGGGGCACTGTCAGCAGGGTTTGTAGCACCTAGCATCACTCTTCCAGTTTTAACAACATTCAGGCCCTCCCATACCATAGGAACAACTGGGCCTGAGGCCATGTATTTAACTAAGGCTGGGAAGAATGGCTTGTCTGACAAGTCAGCATAGTGCTTCTTCAGAAGGTCTTCAGTGGGCTGTAGAAAGAACGATTATTTGTATTAGCATGGAATAATTTTTATATGGTTACTTCAATTTTCTTCATAGAAACGTGTCAAAAAGCCAAGCAACCAACAGGAGATTTATTTAGAGGTACAGCAAATATGAAAACCACTTTGTCAGGTCAACTTTAATAATGAAGAAAAGAACAACACTTGACATTCAGTTTCTGAACATCATTTCTTTCATGATGAATATCTAACGTTCCCCGATCATGTCACAAAAGTCGTTCAGAACTCTTATGCAAAAGTTAAAACACTTTACAGTTATAAAGCTATTCTCTCTCTTCATTTAATGACACTAGTCCAGTCCACGCTATGCTGATGACAAAAACAAAGCTATTCCTTAATAGTAAGCTTAGTTTGAGGTGTGAACAGCATTGTGTTAACTTACAATTTGTGGGTTACACTCTGAACTTACCTTATCATAAAACTGCCCAATTTAGGAAGTCATTTTCTTATATAACCCAATTTATACAATAGATTTCCATCAAGTGTGAGGACACTTGAATTTATTTTTGCAAAGAAAGTCAAGCAATACGTTTTTGAAAACATTGTTTCAATTTTTGAATAATTTTTGTCTTTGTTCTATCTGGCTGTTAATATGTATCTTGTATTAACATATTCCTCTTTTTTGTACCAAGCTTTCTTTCATTGTATTCAGTAAGAGCCTTGTTACTGTGTGTTTGTGACATTTTCTTTTAAATCTGATTTTTAAATTGTTTTTCAAGAAATTTTTTTCTTGTGTAGCCCTGTTTGGTGGTGAGGGCAGCATGTTGGCTGTTACTGTACCATGGTCAAAAGGAGAAGGATATACCACATATATATTTTGGAAAATGCAGTTGAAAAGTTTTGATGCTTCCAGTATCTCCAGAGATAAATGAACTACACATTAACATTGCCACTTTTTGATCTCTGCAAGGTGGCATAAAGAGAACCTGAATATGATTTTTCATCTCATCCCCCCTCGTCAACGTTTTGCATAGGTGAATCACTTTTAATTCTGATTTCAAATATTACAGCATGTCATACATTAAAACAAAAATTTTATTGAGTTGGCCTTGAAAGTATCATATAGTCATTTATTTCATAGTATATAAAAGATGATAACATGTTACACACTGATATAAAACTTCAAGTGCCTAACTTCATATAGTTGGTTTTAACTCATTGAATGAGGTACAACATAATATAATTCATTTATATTATCTAAGGGTAATCATGAAGACATAGGAAATGGTATAATTTAAAAAAAACTGGGAGTTGAAATGTCAGATTGAAATTCTAATTATGCCACCATGTAGAAGAGAAAAAGTGGATCTGTAATTTGTTTGAAATTTCTAGACCTTGTTTTGTTTTGGACTAGAGCCAGGAAAAACAAAAAATTACATAAGAGTAAATTTGGAAATACTTCACAAACTGTCAAAGTTCCATTTATCATATTCATCATGAGATGTGATATTTATTGACCATGCAGGGTAGCCTGGGTCTGTCATTATTGATGCATAATTTTATGCAGAAATCCTTTGATGGTACCGACCACAGTAAATACTGATCATGTGACATTCAGTTGTGGAGAACCCTATACATGAAGAATTTAATTTTTGTAAAAAATGTTAGTTTAATTTTTGCCGAGATAGGGAAAAGGGGGGGAGCAGCTGCCCACCCCTGTCCCCCCGAGGTACACCCTTGAAGTATTTCTAAATGAAGCACCCATTAAGAAGTATCAGACTAAATCTGCAGCTCCCATTTTTACTCTTTTCCCTACATGTGCTTATGCTGACATATTCCGGAAACAATGGTAAACTATAAAATAATCACCAGTAGCCGTGAGATATTCGGAATGGAAGCACAACAGTGATTCCCTTTATTTTTTAAATCCATGAAAAATGCATGTGAAATAAGGCCTATTTTTTAATTCACTGGTGGGCCACTGGTGCAAGCAATTAATCAATTTTTCTTCTTTTGATTTCCGTCTGAGCGACCGGTTGTATACCAAACTTGTGTATATAGTTTATAAACAAGTTTGGTGTACAACCGGTCACTCAGACGGAAATTTTGGTTGCACCGGTGGCTCCAACGGTGGATTAAAAAATACGCCTATAGTACCAGTGACATAGGTACCTGTATTGATTACCTTGAAAAAGAAAATAAAAGGAAAATCGTAGATTTGTCTGTGTAATAAATAATGTTTGGCATATGTAGACGTGAATTTTCCCATGCATGATATGATTTCTTCATTATCGTGAAAAAAGGCTATATCATTATCCATTAACAACATTGAAATTGCAATTATACAAAGCCCAAATTATCTTTGCCGGCAGTTTAAAAAATGAAGAGTAAGGTTAAACAAATGACGTCGATGAAGTGCCACGCCGGCTTTTTCACCCAATACAAATGTAAATACTAACCCAAACGAACTTGAGTGCGACGAGTTTAAACCCTTTCTGTTCGAATCTTTTGATGATTTCTCCAACGAGGCCCCTTTGGACACCGTCAGGTTTGATCATGATGAAACTTCTTTCTCGTGTGGCTGCCATGGCGCTTGAAAACAGAGAGAAAATTGACAAGACTGTAGCGATCATACAATCACTGTCAAAGGCAGTGTGGAAGTGGAAGAGATATTTTTAGAAAAAAGACTTGATCCGTCTTACTTAGATCGTGGATGTGGAAAGTGGAAAGACAATTCAAAACGAACAAACATTGCCTGTGCAGAAATGGAACTAAGATGTAATACAGTAGCGGCGCACAAGACGAAACCGGTAGTGCAAGTGTTATCGTTACTGAACGTAAAACAGTGTTTCCGTCATGAATGTGAAACGGGCAAAGAAACTATCGTAAATCAAATTCGTGAAAATGTCCCCTCTTCTTATACCAGTTTTACTTTGACGATAAAGCCACGGATTTCTTCATCAATTGAGTCCATGACCAAATTTTAAAAATGTAAAACAGGAATTTGACGATAAATTAAATCCATGAAGTTCTTTCTGCGTTAGAATTTCTAATTTTTGCCAAGCTGGACTTGTTTTACTATCCATTATATTGTAATGTGGTGTCTATGTATAATATTCACCTCAAAATCAAAACTACAATACATACAAAAACAAAAACTCAAAATGTTTCTACGAAGAATTTGTTGTGTGGTTGACGGCATTGTTGACTGATGGATAATACATAAATTTGTCCACCGCAAAACATAATCCGTATGACCTTGAAGAAATCCATCTGAATAAATTCGTGAAGAAATTGTTGATGTAAAACGGGTATTAAACGTTCATATCTGCATGGTTTCTAATAAAATGGTAGAGTAATTCTGGGCCTATCTTGGTACTAAAATTACCTAACTAAACCTGGACTTGAATGGTGGAGACATCTGCCCCCTCTAGACGCACTTACTTTCCGCTCGTCAATTGTTACGAAGGCATTAACAGAATCGCCCAGTTTTAAAATCCCCTAAATACACTTTGCAAGCGAATTGAGTTAGCGATGCTATCTGATCGCAAAAAGTCTAAGGCCCGTATCGTTAGTCGTCCCTACAATTGTAGGGCGCGTTTATGGCCTTGATTGTCATACTCTTTCTCTCCTTCAAAAATATCTAGATTACACTTGTCCCCTGTCATCGTCAGCGCTCTCCTATTGTTAAGATATGTTTTCCTTTTAAATTGTAGGACATTTCAGGCTGATAAAACATGATAAAACTCAAAAGCAAGCACAATTTGATGCAAATAGATGTTTGTGACATAACCTCAAAATAGAGCGCTGACACGGAGAAGTAGAAAACTATGACAATCAAGGAGGCCATAAACGCGCCCTACAATTGTAGGGACGACTGACGATACGGGCCTAAGTGCCTTATCGTCAGTCGTCTCTACAATTGTAGGACACTTTTATGGCGATCTTTTTCTCATTCGGAAGGCCTGGTGTATTTCTAGATTTTTACTGTTCCGTGTCAGCGTCAGTGCTCTGCTCTCCTATTGTGAGGTTATCTTGAGAAACTTCAGGCTAATAAGATAACCTCAATATAGAGCGCTGACACGAAACAATAGGAATCTAGAAAAAAATATTCCTGCCTTTCTGAAGGATAGGAAAAACTATGAAAATCAAGAAGGCCGAAAGGGCGTCCTACAATAATCATTGCAGAAAAGACTGTCTTTTCAACTAGTTGAGGAATAATACTTTACTGCAATGCAAAAGTATTGGGAATAAAATTAAATAAGGTAGATCTAAATGTGAAAAAAGGTAAGTCATGGGAATGAATTGCAGTGTAAACATTTTGATGCCATCTGGCATATGTATTACCAAGATATTGTCACCATCAGATTCTAAAACGTAGTGTAAGAAGATGACAGCGATGGTGGAGAAAATAAATGGGAAGAACTGTGGGATAAGTGGCGTTCATGAAGCTAATATCGTTTAATGTTTTTTTTTAAGAATTATGATAGATACCTACGAATTTGTGAATATAAGAACCGTACTGGAATTAGGCAACTCAACTATCAGAGTGCTGCCCAATTTTTCTAGACATGAATCCGAAGATCACCATTGCCACCATTAAGTAATTTTTATCATTTCTCGTATCTGGACAGCCATGGAAAAGTTGACGACGCCACTGCTTATTACGTTTTACAGTGTGTTCATATTGACACAACTCTCGAAGGCCTAAGACTTCCTGTTCCTGCTGGATAATCCATTTAAAAATTATTACTACCTAACATTTTCTCAGTCTATTTGGTAATCCTATCCTATAATCTTTATGATAATTATAGATCTTTCATTTTACAATTACGAACTGTTGAAACGAACAGACTGAAGTAATTTATACATGGTGACCCAAGTATGATAACATAGTTTCTAAAATGCATACTCATAGCGTAAAATAGCAAAATTTAAGGAATATGAAATTGGGCAGTTGAACGACTAGTGACAACCAACGCCAATGCCGGAAACTCCCTCTACGTTAATTTTTGGCGCAGTATCTAACAAGTATTTTAATAATGTCAATTATAGGCACATATATTAAGCTTTTAGGTGCAACAAAAATAAATTGTAGCATTAACAAAAATAAACTGTAGCATTTTTTCTCTTTTATACTTGAACCACCACGAAGGCCTAAGGCCTAAACACCCATGGGTACCGTGGCGCTATAGGGTGATACAGGGAAAGGGGGGGGGACACCACACGGACTCTAGAGGGGGAACACGTGTGCATGCAATATGCACACATTCTGGTCGCTCCTTAGAGATCCGCCAGGTAGTACCCCCCCCGATTGACAGCCTGAGACTCTCTACCACCTGCGACAAGCGCAACATTCTTAGATTCCATAGCCAAGAGAAACATTCTTTTGGGATGGGATTCCGAGACACATAACGTCTACCACTACGCCACCGCTGCTGCATGTATCCAATAACGAATTCTTCATTCCTGAAATATACTTTGAAAAGGGTAGTCTGGTCTGATTCCGCTACTATCTCATAGATGGCGCAAGGATCTTCAATTCTTTTTTGGCCACCTGAAGATACTCAAAATAGGGATTATAATTCATTTCGTTATTATAACAATTTTAAAAATTGCGACAAGGCTTTTGTCGGTGCCATCTTAAATATTCTGCTCTTGCTTACCCATGGCCATGTCCATCACACCCGCACTGATTTGGCGTTTCTCCCATCATATGAGAATCTTTCTGCGATTACTGTTTTTCTCTCTAAGGCCCGTATCGTCAGTCGTCCCTACAATTGTAGGGCGCCTTTATGGCCTCCTTGATTGTCATAGTTTTCTACTTCTACGTGTCAGCGCTCTATTTTGAGTTTATGTAACAAACATCTATTTGCATCAAATTGTGCTTGCTTTTGAGTTATATCATGTCTTATCAGCCTGAAATTTCCTAAATTTTAAAAAGAAAACATATCTTCACAATAGGAGAGCGCTGACAGGGGACAAGTGTAATCTAGATATTTTTGAAGGAGAGAAAGAAGTATGACAATCAAGGAGGCCATAAACGCACCATACAATTGTAGGGATGACTGACGATACGGGCCTAAATTCACAAGTCTAATTGACAATGACAGAAACGATACCTATCAGGATTCAGGATGGCAGTAACGTGAAACATGTGGCATGCTTCAAACGGGACCGAACTTACTTAAAATTTGACAGCCGCCCACGGAGATTCAACTAATCATCGCTGGAATATAGGTTTTACTGTAGAGCGCCAACCTTGCCAATTTTCGTCTGCTCTTGCTCAAGGTGAATAGAGAAAAGTCTGCAAAGGTTGGAAGTCGAATTGTATGTGAGCCACCTGGTAGAACACTCACAGGACGGCAAGCAGCAGCTGAAATCTGAAGGCCACTCGAATTGATTTGATTAGGGTGATGACGTCACAACTCAGTAGTGGGGAGGAGTGAATCGAAAAATGATGCTGGGTGCGTATAACAACCAATCCATTTATTTCTTGTTTTTTTTCTTAAGAAAATACTTTGTTTATATATTTAAGGCTTATTAATCGCTATAAAGTATCTGGTATATTTTTCAACGCTTGAATATTCAGGAAATTCACTCTGGAAATTTCCATAACATCCGACCAATCACGTGCCTTGACCGAATCTGTCTATCCTTTTCTATCGGCCGAAATGTCTCGCTCTATTTTTTATGACTCGCCTTTCATGTCATGCTAGTGGCGAATCTCTCGGTTTTGATCGATACTGTTGAAAAAGACGCTTGTAAAAATTTAATTTATCGGTTATATTTAGTGCTAAGATTTCTATTTGATGAAATGCAGGGCCAACAAGTCACAGTTAACGCTCAGAACCAGATAAACGCAAACATTTCGTTAGGAAGCCCGGTGATATTGAAAATGAACGACACAATCACCATGTCTTCTGTAGGTGAGTACACTTTTCCCGACATGATTTTTACCATACAGCCAAGCATATACCTATAATTTATTTTAAAAGCTGTAAAAGGCAATATAATGCGCATTTTTCCAAATATAAAATTGCCTAGACTCGCATGTGAGGTTACACCTTTGTTCTAAACTCTAAACCTACATACAAACGTGCATGGGGTATTTAAAAATATTCATCCACAATCCGGAGAATGCGCTATGTTGTTTTTGGTTTAAAGTACCGCTTTTCTTAGTCTTTATCTTTAATAATAGCCAGGAGGTGCTCCTTAAAATGCTAGAATCTCTTGCAGAAGTATATTATTTAGAACAATTTTGGAGTGTTGCTTGTGATGTTTCTAGAGCAAGTACTGAATTTTTGGTCTGAAGTTTTCTATAGCTTATAGAGTTGCATTTAGCTAGGTAGAATTGTCATGTTGTGATTAGCTATAATTGACAACTACGAGTAGCAGTTAGCAGTAATTATTAGCTACAAATTATAGTTAGCTATAAAATTGCCAATCACAAGTTACATTTAGCTATAATATTGTTAGTTACAAGTTGCACTCAGCTGTAATTGTCAGTTATACATTGCAGTTAGCTTTTTTTGTTTACATTTGAATGTGACTTTAATGGCCTTTCCTTCATATATCTACTTATACAATTTTACTGAATTGTTCTTAGAGCCATCATCTTATTTAATATGTAAAAATGTCATAGGTAAAAAAATTGACAAATAACCTTCTTTGTTGTTATGTTCCTGGTTTCATAGAGTGTGACATTACTTCTCATGAATGTAAGGCATAGAACTTGTTCAGTCAAAGTCAAGAAAAAACAAAACCACACAACAAAGTAAACAAAATGAAGTTAGAGTCACAAAGTTAATGTGAATAAAGAGTTTACAGGTAGTTAGTTCTCAACTCTGATTTGATCCCGCCACAACAGCAAGGGGTTTTAACCTGTGTGTTGTTTAAAATAGATAGTTAAAATTTAGAGTTTGTAATGGCCATAACTTGGCAGAGATTCTATTCTGTAACTTTTTTTGAAGTTTGAGCTGCATGGGGGCTGGAGTTGCCTACCTTCTATAAAAATATAGGCTTAGGATGTCGAGTGTATGCCTTTCAAATGTCTACAAATATGATTTTTTTTAATAGGTTGAAAAATCTATTAAAATCGAATGTCCAAGAATGTAATTCCTAAAATTTAACTTTTAGCTGCTGAATTTCACAGTGTAAAACATACACCTCGTGATTGAAAGACTTTTAAATGTTTAAAACAAAAATTACGAAGATACTGTAATACATTAACCTTCACTCACAAAAAATTTTCTGATCTGCACAACTATCCTTTTTTTTGTAACAATTTCTTGGAAAAGAAAATGAAAAAATGTAAATATAATCTAAATGATTAGCTGAAAGAACCCAGCACAAATCACTTCACTGTGTATTGGGTTGCATATCCTCTACCTAATATTGGAATCTGTCAGCTTTTTCGAAAAATTAGTACTTGGCCAAGGATCATCAGACATATACTGGGTGTTCCAGATTCAACCCTCACCTTTGGGATCTCGGAAATGATAAGAGATATGAAGTCTCTTAAAATGAAGCAAAGTTGGTTATTTGGGTAACCAACAAAATATACCTTAGACAGTTTCAAAATTCAAAGTACTTCTGGAGAGAGACAAAAAAAAACAATTTTCCCAAATTCATTTTCATTTTTTCTTGACTTGTAGTGATTTCAAAACAAAAAATATTGTCACTTTTTCTCCTTCACAAGATGTCATAATTAGAATTTCAATATAATAATAATAATAATAATAATAATAAATGGCTTTATTCGAAGAGACAATGCATACAAAAATAGTGTTCAACAAAAAGGAATAATTGCTCTCGAATCTCAAGGGGGAGTTATCGACCTGCATGCTCTTCCACTCATCCCTTGCTCTATTTTAAAATAGTGATATCAACTGTTACATGACTACTACTAACTATATGAGAGCAGAAAAAAAAAGCATGAGTACAAAAAAACAAATAACACTGAAAATATAAAACTGAAAATATTCCATCATATAATCATGAGATTCATCCAAAAAAGCTAAATGTTACAGTATTATCAGCGAAGTTAATTATACTTATCTTAAAGGAATCGTCTCAGAGCTGCCTTGAATTTGCAACCTTTCATATTTTTGATTTGCTGGGGGATGGAGTTGTATAATTTATAGATGTTGTAAGAGAAGCCACGTTCGAAAAAACATGTTTGATGGAATGGAGCAGAAATATTCTGTTTCAAACGAACATTGACAGAATGAAGACTTTCTCTAAACATGACTTTTTCATACAAATATGGCAGTGACTTGCTTGACAAAATATTATGGTAGAAACATAGTGTTAATAGTTCTGAACCCTGTTTCATGTTCAACCACTGTAAATCCTTCAGCTTATGACTAACTCTGTCATATTTCCTTATGCCGAAAATGTACCTTATACATGAATTTTGAACACGCTGAATTCTAGATATTGTATCAGCATCAAAGCATGGATAATAGACAGGAGCACCATACGAAAACTGGGACAAAACCAACGTTTCGCATAGCATTCGTTTGATGTCTCTGCTAAGAAAGTGTCTATGAGGGTAAAGCAGCTTGAGTGCATAATACGCTCTTTGTATACATTTTGAAATATGCTCTTTAAATCTGAGCTTAAAATCTATTATGAGACCCAAATTTTTAACAGAATCGCAGAACGGTATTAGAACATTATCTATATGTAGCGTCATATTGTTCATTATCTCTGACCAATCTTTCCCAAAAATTATTGCTGCTGATTTTTTTGGATTCAGTGACATTGAATGATCATTAGAAGTTTTAAATAGAGCGTCAAGATCAGCATTAATTTTAAACTCCGCCATTCATTGGCCAATCATCACCAAGGAATGAAAGGCACACTTGAGTATCATCTGCATACATGTGAGGCTTACAGTATTCAAGGGATTTGGAGAGCTGACTAGTATATAGCGTGAATAATAGCGGTCCCAGTATCGAACCCTGCGGCACCACTTGATTTATTGTATGTATATGATGTTTCATATTTTGTCCTCCAGCATCAACTTCATTTTTTCTAATAGTTATATTACTTTTCTACACTGATGAATAGAGTTTATAATTCTGATTCCAAAAAGGTATAATATGATAAACCTCAGTAGATAGTCATTTGTTTCATATACCTGTATACCAGACTAGACCTCAAATTTAACATAGTAACATAGTTTGAAGACTGAGAAGAATGGAAATAAACTGAGCAGTGATCAATGTACCAAGGAGTCAGACCTTGCCTACAAAATAACGGGCAAGATTTTGAACATCTAATATGATTTACCTCTCTTATTTATGATTAGTTTGTTATGATCAATAAAATTTTCATTTCCTTTTCACCATACCTTTTTATTTCCTTCCAACAACAATTCATGGCCAACTAAGGAGATATATCACTGAATTTAGGAGTGACAACACCATTTAAATGTAGAAAACTCCAATATAGCATCCATATGAAAAAACAAAATTGGTGATGCAAGTCGAAAGAAGAAACCTCGAATTGAACATTTGACTATATCATCTTGTAGAGGAGAAAAATGAGAAACATCGTGTAACTTACTTTGAAATCCTGTCTCAAGTAAAGTTAGGAAAAATAAAAACAATTTTATCATAAATCTGGTATATGAAACAAATGATAATTCTAAGACCTACCTAGTAAATTGTTTTTTTTTTGTCTCAGGTCTGGAAATGTGAATGTATGACATGTTATACATTTTTGGAATCATGTGGCGGCCATAAGGGAAAATAAGTTTGATGCTGGAGGACAAGAGATTAAAATAATGTGATATTAAGATTCTAATTATGCCTTCTGTAAAGGAGAAAAAGTGGCAATGTTAATGTTCAATTTATTTTGAAATCCCTCGACAAAGTCATGAAAAAATTAAAGCGATCTTGTGAAAAATCGGTTTTTTTAGTCTCTTTCCGGAAGTACCTTAAATTTCGAAACTTTCCAAGTTCCATTTTGTTAGCTACTTGAATGCCCAACTTTGCATCTCTTCGTATCTCTTACTGTTTCCGAAATTACCAAATATCCGGTATACAGGCGGTAGACATACAATCTAAACTGACTGATCATGAGCTTTTTATTTCTACTAACTCCTTTTCTTATAAGGCCTTTTGGAACTGGCCCATCGCGAATACCAGGCAGGTGATTATGAAAATGCAGAAAGGCACTGCATGCAGCTGTGGAGACAGGACCAAACTAACACAGGAGTTCTGCTTCTTTTGTCCAGCATACACTTTCAGTGCCGAAGGTTGGACAAGTCAGCGCAGTTCAGCACATTGGCAATCAAGCAGAATCCTCTACTAGCAGAAGCTTATAGGTGAATTTAAAAATGCTTCTATGTTCTTTTACAGAAGTAAATATCCCCGGGCCGAAGCTTGGAAAAACAGTTTTTATTGTTGATATTTTAAAAACATTCAAGTCGAGGATTGACTGAAAGATTCGCAATTAATTAAGCACTCAAGAGTGTTCTTAACCTAAAATGCCGATTTTATCATTGATTAACATGTTCTACCTGAAAATATCAGACCAAAGAGGGATCTGAAAGGCACTATCGCCAACTGGGAACACAAAAATCAATTCAGGGTCTGAGAGTTTGGTTTTGCCACTATCTCATAGATAGCGCTAGAATCTTCATTCCCTTTTTGGCGACTCTTTTAATTGGGTACCTTCAGACATCGATTAACATTTTCCACTTGAAGTTACCCAGTTAAAGTAGGCATTAGAGAAGCGCCATCTACAGGACAGTATTATAATCAAACTGTCTCTTTTTAAAGTAGATTACTAAATTCATTTTTGTGTTCCGCTACTCTCTGCTGGCATTTGTGAGATTTCTTTTTGAGCTCTTCTGGTAGAAGATGTTGGTATTATGGAATTTGAAGCATCAATTTTTTTTTGCAGTAATCTTGGGAATGTGTATAAAGAAAGAGGGCAACTTCAAGAAGCGCTGGAGAATTACAGACATGCGGTTCGTCTGAAGCCAGATTTCATTGATGGATACATCAACTTGGCAGCAGCACTTGTGGCTGCTGGTGATATGGAGCAAGCTGTACAGGCCTACATCACAGCTTTACAATATAACCCAGTAAGTATTTTTAAGCAATACTCAAAAACAACATTGACAACAGAATATACAGGGCATCCAAGATAAGGATCCTATGCATGGGGATCTAAATACCCATGGGTGACTCAGCTTATATTAAATTAGAAAAAAGCTAAGATCTTTGGGCCATATTTACATGCTGTTGAGAAACTTCATGGCTTACTGGGATATTTTGGAAAAAGTAAAATTTGCCATATCAAAAAACAATAATTGTGGAACTTTTTCATTAGTACTTTGTAGGCTCTACATGGTGGTGTTTTTAAATTTTGTGCCTGGCATTTCGTTTTCAAGAAACCATCATCAACTTTATATAATCTCACATCAAGCATTTGTTTGCAACACCTACTTAAACAATAATAATAATAATAGTAATTTTAGTTTTCTCAAATATCTCGGTAAGCCATAGCCTTGGCATGTAAATACGCCCCAAATAATGCAACTTTTTTCCTAATTAAACCTAAGCTGTATCTCCTAAATAGTGGATAGTAGTAGATCAATAGTTTTTCATAATCCAATATCTTCATCTCATATAAATATGATGAAAGGTCGACTGAAATTAGAGTATCATGATATCAGGGAATTGTCAGAATCTTGAGAAATGTCGAAAGCCAAGAACGAAAAAGTAGATTTCTTTTTCTGTTGAGGAATTTAGAAAATATGGAATGGCAGATATAATTACAAGGGGGTTGAGGGATTTGAGGGATGATCTTTACTTGGAAGGCTGATGACATGCATAAGAATAAACAATTTTTTTTAAGGAAAATGGAGTTCGTTTCTACTACTTCTAAGGGGATTATAGCAGAAGGTTGGCCATTTTATTTGAGAATATGTTAATGATTGCTGAAATCCAATCAAGCTTTTTAATTTTTGGCATTATATACGTAGTATCCATGCTTCAAAATAACACCAAAATCAGAGCAGCATTTTCCAAGTAATAAACGGAACCCAAGGATCATCATGAGATAGCCAGAATGATGAAAATGAATGGCATGATTTTTTGTGATGGGCATGTCATGTAACATCAAAAAAACTTAATATCCGGATTATGTACTTTTTCGCGATTTCAATACTTCTAGTCAGTTGGCGTGGGATTTTCAAGCAGCACAGTATTTTTATACCAGTCAAAATATAAAGCAAGATGGTGCCCAAATTTGAACAGTGGCAATATTGCTTTCTTCAGGAATTGAAGTTCATTTGTCACCAGTTGAGCATCAAGGACATCTCTTATAAAAACAGAAAGCAGTGCTTTTATGTAGCAAACATTTGGTAATGCAATTTTGACTTTCGATTTTTATCCAATTTATTAATTTCAAGGTAAAATTTCATTGTTAAAATTTTCCTACCTACTCGCTCTGCAGCACTGGAGAAACTTGTATCCATTTTTCTGTATAGATTGCACGAATGTCACAGGCCACATGTTTTGATAACACAAGCAAGTTCATTAAAATGGTTTGCATTTAATAATTTTGGGTAATAATCTCAACACGTTCTTACTTATCAAACATAATTAATGTTTCAGATAGTGGCGATGTGAAAGGAATCTATACAGTTTTATGTTTATTTTCTAATAGTTGATTGTAGTTTGATGATGTTATTAATTTTTTGTATTTATAAGGTAAACAAAAACGGCATGTGTATTGCTTATTATAAATTTTATGCAGGGCGATAAAAACCAAATGAAATACTGATGAAAAGCAGCCTGTTACCCGCGATTTCGTACGCTTCAAACGGATACTACTATAAAACATTGATTATGGATGACGTATTGTTATGGCTCTACCTACATGTTCCCCGATAAAACGGGTACGGGGAAATATGCCTGATAGGTGCGTATAATTACTGGAATTGAAAGCCTAAAAACATACTAGCGCCAAAAAATTGAGACATACCTTCATCCCCCTCGTAACAGCTCCCAACCATCAATTTATAACCCCTACAAAAAAATTTCTGAAAATGATGACCATCAGAAAAGTTTTAGCGATTTTTATTTTTTAGTTGTTTTGCCCCTAGCTCCGCCGCCACCCTACAAAGATTTTTACTTTATTTTTTGGACGTTATATGACATCTACATTACGAAAAACCATGTCATTCATTTCCGTCGGTCTGTCTGTCTGTCTGTCCGCTAATTTTATATTCGCCTATAACTTAAGAAGTACTTCTCGGAAAGTCGGCCTAGTGGTGACGGGGAAGGAATAAAAACAAAAAATAAAAATCGCTCAAACTTCGTATTTGGCGTTTAAAAAGGTCCTGATCATTTTCAGAAATTTTTTTGTAGGGGTTGGGAGTTGGGGGTGCTAGCGGGTGTATGCATTTTTTTGATCTTGGTATATTTATACGCTCCTAACCCCGGTAATTCTGGCACCTATTATGTCCGGTTTTTCAATCTCTGGTTAACTGTCACGTCAGGTAACTATAACTTGAAAGTTAACTATCAGTTGTCTGTGAATTCATTTTTCAAGCTGTAGTTAATAATCAATAAATCGTTGATGCGTCAACGCTGCTTTTATGCCCGAATTATCGTGTTCTATGCGTTTCGTGATGTTCTTTTCTGTCTCTGTGTCTCGTGTCATCCATGAAAACTTATGGCACTGCCAGCCACACTAGTTTTGGTATTCTGGTTCGACCACAACTTTATAGTTATCCCATAAATGGTCCTCATGTTGAAGTTGATTACCACTTGATATTGAAAATTTTTTTTTGAAAGTTAGAAGACAAATTGTAGTTGGACCTTAGCCATATTTCACTCATCATAGCTCTCCCTCTTACATTTGCCTGTAAAAGTTAGAATGATGAAGGTTTTCGGTCCGCATCCTCGTGCCTATGAAAGCGAACCGTCTGCCTAACCAGCCCGTCTTATATGTATGTATTTGTACTGAAGCCCAAAAAATATAGGAAACTTGCACGAACCGAGAGATAACTCGCTGCATAGATGCCGCGCAGATTTAGAAAGGGACAACGTTGCCACATGCTCGGAACTACTTGTAGGGCAGGGAAATGATGTCCATGGGACATATTGTCTCTAACTGTTGGACTGACTTAATACGTTTGATTGCTCTGTTCTACATGTCCGTAACTGAATATTTCCTCAGAGGATTTAAATTGCGCTGAACTGAGCCCTTTATGATGTGATGACGGCGTTGCGTAGGAAGTGAAGAGTCAACCCACTTGACGTCATTTTTTGACATTGGCATAGTAGAAACCTTAATGTGAAAATTTAATCAACATCCGATCGGTACTTACCAATTATTACGGTATTTCGTGATGTATAAGCCATATAACATCCAGAAATCGTATCTCATTTTCGAAATTTTTCATGATTACAATACTTCCTCGACAGTAGCGTAGGCAGTAGCAGGAGTTCTATATTTCTTTGGAAAGTATAGCAAGGATTTTTGTTGCAGGATCTCTACTGCGTTCGTAGCGATTTGGGTAACCTTTTAAAAGCATTAGGTCGATTAGATGAAGCCAAGGTAAGCACAGTTATTTTGAAAATAATCCAGATCCATTGTCCTACCCTTTTCAGCAAAATACTTCATTTTGATTGAACAGAGCAATGTTAGGACTTCATAAATTGTCCTCCACTTCAGTGTCACATTTTTTCAGTAAAATATTTGATGCCACAATCCATATTATGGAACTACGAGTATTTAAATGAAGTTGGATAGTTATCTTATTGATTCTATTCAGTGTGTTGTTTGAATTACATTTGGTCCGCTATTTTTGAAAAAGCGGTGTTGCGTAATTTTCTTTTCGTAGTGCGTTAATACTTTTTCTTTTACAGGAGTGAAATCGAAATTTGGCGCAGTGTGTGCGTAGTTTTATTCTGTAGTTAGTTTTATTCCCATTTTCGTCTGAAGAGGGCGTGACTCGTGACGTGACAAGACTTCACTGTAATTATTTTCCTTGATTTTTCAGGATTCGAGATGGCTAAAAAACACGTTACAAGAATTATATTTTTCATAATACTGTACTAAAAAAAATTTGTGTAGATGAGAAACAGTTTTGTATTTTATTTTTATTTTTTGGAATGTATTTTTTAGCTACTCTCCTTTTGACTTTCAGGTGCGCTTGCGTAGCTTTGTAATCCGAAATATTGGATACATTTTTTGGAAATAGTGGACCGAATGCTGATTATTTGTTTGAGTTGATTTCAAAATTGATTGATGTAAATTAAAGTATAGCATCTGCAATTATCCATCCTATGATAGTTGATTGCAGTTTGTTTTTCTCCCACTGTACCTATCCTTTCCTTCTATGATCTATTGATCTTATATGTGGATGCAAAAAGATATGTTACGCTTACGCGAGTCTTTTTTTATACATATACCGAGGCATCCGCTTAGGCAGAAGCCTTAATACTAGGGCACCCCAGCTGCTATGAGGAGCTTAAAAACACTTTAATCCGAGTTTTCGACTGCCGAAGTGAGAAATTCAGGTGATTTTTTCACAATCTCGATACCCTAAGTACAAAGGAGCAGTCGTTTCGGTCAGGTGCAAAGTTCGACACGGTTAGGATGGGAGACCGAAGTCAGGCGGGTCTGTCTGGCAAGCACATCGCGCGTCGGCATTATGGAGCTCTGATGAGCAAAGCCCGTTGCCGTAGCGGTAGAAAAGAGCCAGATCGCCGACGCCCCTTCGGTGCGAAAGGGTCCCGAGACTGTCCGTTAGCGAAGAGTTAACGATCTATCGGCTAGCCCTCCTCTGAACAGCATCGATCATGCAAAATGTAGTAAGGGTGGCATCACCCCAAACGTGGGCGGTACTCGAGGCTATGTCTTATCTGTGGAGAAGAGTACTCATCCCAAAACAAATTGATGAGATATACTCGTGCCAGATCAAGAGCACCGACATCAGCCTCACCATAAGACTGGGTGAGTTTACTCCACAGTTCCGTGACATAAGCTAGGACCGTAGTGCCTGTCGCTAATCAAGCCGTGACTTTCAAGGTACTCCAGAAGCTTCCGATTTATGCACCTCTCCATCACCTCACCTATAACGGAAAGCAGAGCTATAGGCCTGTAGTTGTAAGAGTCGGTCTTAGATCATTTTTTGGGATGGGGCGAAATGAGCAAGTCATATCAAAAATTAAATCGCTAGATTAGATCAGACTAAAACAATGCTCGAACTAATAATACTATACTGAGTGACAAAAAAAGGTTAACACCTACGTATGTTTATTAGAGAATTCAAGAATTTTTTGCATATCGATTAATCTTGCCATGAACAAGTGATAAAATGGTCAGGTTTTCCTGTTAAGTTGTTGTGGTGGCTGCGTGTATTGTTTGGCCTTTTTTCTTACTGCGCCCACATTGGGTGCTACCTCTCACTGCTGAACATCGCCGTAATCGTTTACTCTGGCGTAGAGAAATAATTCTATGGACCGAGAATGCAATGAGGTGGTCTTTACTGACGATTCCCGTTTCTGTCTGGGGATGCACGATGGTCGGGCAAGAGTGAGAAGGCGACGTGGTGAAAGACGTGACACACAATTTGACAGACAGCGTCACGTTCACCACACCGCGGGAGTTATGGGGTGCTATTGCTTAGGGTAGCAGATCACCACTAATTTTCGTCAGAAGCAATATGACGGCCTGACGCTATATTCAGGAAATAGTGCAGCATCATCTCGTTTCATACCTAATCACCATCCAAAACCCGATTTTTCAGTAAGACAATGCAAGACCGCATGTTGCCAGAGCATCTTTAGCCTTCATTGATCAACATCGCATCAACCGTTTACCTTGGCCACAAAAATCGCCTGTCCTATCTCCAATTGAACATGTCTGGGACATGATAGGTCGCAGGCTGTTGAATTTGCAACAGCCTCCACAGACTTTAGCAGCTCTTATTCAAGAAGTTGCAGAAGCCTGGAATTAGATACCCCAACACGATATCGATCACCTTATCAGTACGATGCCCAGGCGTGTCAATCAGTGTATAAGAAGTCGTGGATCTTCAACACATTATTAAACCAGCTTCGGCAGTCAGTTGACGAATCAAGCTGAAAATTTAATCATTTTACTAGAAAGGGACTCTAAACACATGCCAAAAAATCTTAAAATCGGATAAACATACGTAGGTGTTACCTTTTTTTGTGACTCAGTATATGACACAAGATGTAAGGTTCCAAGGACTCTTTAAGAATCGGTAATCATTTGTAGTGACTTGGTTGGTAAAATATTGGCATTTTTAAAGAAAACGTTACTTGCAGTGATCCATGTGATTCGGAAATTATTGATTTTAGCTATTTCACGTCTTATAAACTTTTCCAACACAAAAATTTTACTCCGCCTGTAAAAACCTTTGAATATGATCGTTAGTTTGCTCTCAAAGCTATAAAAAAGTAAAAATGACCTCCAAGTCTAGGAATAATTACGAGGAAGGTTGAGGGGTGACTTTTCCTTGGAAGGTTGATGTCATGTTTTAGTTTAAACAATTTTATACAAAAGGAGGGAGCCTTTTTTATTGCTTCTAATACATATACAGCATACGTTTGGACAACTTCTGGGAGAATATATCAATTAAAGGAAGAACAGACGCTGAATTGGGAAAAGCCAGCATCTGGTTTTACTGCTACAAGTTGTTGTTAAATGGTGAAAATACTAAGCCGAGAGAAATAAACATCCAAAATGACATTAAATTTTTAGGTGCGACACTTTGACCATAAGTCCCAATGGAAAAGCCACATTGATCCATAACTTTCTTAGAATATTCATTTCCCCCGCAACTTATCGCGAGAAGTGTTGCCAAATATGTTGGGATTTGTTACGTCGCATTATTCCACTCGTACATAGCATATGCAATTATTGTATGAGGCCACTTTGCTGAGGCAGCTAGCGTTGGGCTGCAGGTGGGGCTGTTAGATTGATGGCAGGGCTGAAATACAGAAATGACTGCATGTGTTTACTGAATGGAAGCTGTTGTACCAAGTCTGTATGTGTATGAGAGTTTGATGTTTACCAAGACAAAAGGAGATCTATGCCTACCTTCGAAGATGTTCATGAATATGGTATCAGAAATAAGAGAAATTTGAACCCTATATTTTGGAGAGTGAGAAGGTGCCAAGATGCTTAAATGACTTTTAGATTTGCATTAGAAATGTGTTTGTTCAAAATGCTTATTACAAAATTGTTGATATTCTAAATACTCATTTGAACGTGTTGTGATAGTTCAAAATTTGTGTCATGTACCGTGCAAGTGGCTTTCATGCTATATGATGAATTTTTTTTTCGGACAGTGTTATGACGATTGTTAATATTTTTTTTTATTTGCATGAATAAATAAAGGAATGAATTAATGAAAGAGACAGTTTTGTTATCTAAAGCCATGTACAGATATGTAGCAACACCGCGAACCGAACCAGTCAATGAACCGCAGCGCGCGCATTTTGACGAACAACATTGCAACGAACATTACCACAAACCGAACGACGTCGTGCAACCCCATCGCGCAACAAAATGACGATCCAATTTTGATGTTTGTCGTTCAGTGAAAGAATACTAGCGGAAATGGATATAGCAGTAGCAGCAGCTGCCTATATTTATATTCACTACGAATTATCCAAAAACAAGCGACGACGACGATCGAGACGATTCTGGCAAACGCAGTTATGTACCAATAGAGCACACGGTTGCGTTGATAGCGGAATTGAAATATCAACAAGTGGACAGAACAAAATTTTTACGAGGATGTCTCCGATGGACTTTGAATATCTTCTCACGTTGATTGGATCAAAAATACGAAGACAAGATACAAAGTGGAGAGCTGCCATCACAGTACAAGAACGACTTGCAGCCACGGTGCGATTTTTAGCGACCGACAGTAGTTTGCAATACATGTTTCGAATTTCAATGCAATCGATCAGCTACATCATTCAAGAAGTTTGTGGGGCATTGATCGAAGTTTTAACGGGAAACATACAAGTAAGAAAAATAATTTTACTTCTAGGTACATTACAAAATAACACATTTCTTTTAACCGTCTACTAGGCTTGAGACATACGAATCTTTTCTCTGAGCTCGCTCATTTCGTTCATCTCTCTTTAGTGAGTCGTTCGTTCGGGGTCGTTCATTTGAACGACACGATTACCGACCGGCCTCGAATCTGACGAGAGTATTGTGTTGCCTATAGTAACGACTCACTGAGTCAGAGAACAGACATCATACTATGAAAATTAAATGAAGGGTTGGGGTTACCGATATTATTGTATTTATTTAAATATTAATATTTTGGTTGAACTTGAATATAACGATTGAATACTGTCTTCCGAAAAAAGAAGGGATATGTGGTCCGGTTTTGAGGAATTACCGAATCCTGAATCAAAATGCAATTTTTGCTCTCAAATCCCATCATTTCAACGTATAATTTAATGAGAGATCTCAAAACAAAACAATTGGATTCCCTAGGTAGTGTCTGTACTGTTACCACGTTGTCAGTTCCCAGTTCAGTTGCTGCATACTGCAGACAGGCTTTGCACAATTGAACGAGCCATATTTAACAAAAGAGTCGTTCAATCATCGCTCACTTAGATGAGTCGTTCATTTTGAACGACTCCTTCGCGAACCACACATGACTATCGTCTTCACTAGCGCGGCGCGGTTCGTCGCGTGGTTCGGTTCGCGGTGTTGTTACATATCTGTACATGGCTTAAAATATGATGTATCGAAGCTGTAGACAGACTGGCTAATAAATTCTAGTTTTATGACACAATGTTCAAAAGCCTTTCATCTCAAATCAGCTTGTTCAAAGAGTTTTATTAGTTCTGCTAGATTATGAAACAAAAAAAAATGCGATACACATTTTCTTTTTGCATCTTACTATAACAACAATTTCTGATGGATTTATATAGACATAAGCAATGTTGAACTATTTTCACTAATGGTTATATTACTATGTTGGTGTCACGCGGATACAGGTCGGTGTAAAATGAAACAAACGCACACAGAGTGAGTGATTTGGTAGCATCTATAACGCATTGTTCTGTGTGTCTATCTGTCTCTCTTCAACCTGGTGTCTTCTTCTGCAACGTCACGTGATTGCGAACCGATCAGAGATGAGGCTCCAGTCAGGTAATGTACGCAAGCAGCGCCAGATGGACTCTGATATACCTCTCTCTTCCTCACATATTCAACCGGACGGTCGACTCTGTTGTTTTTAGGTATACCGAGATCGGAACGAGCGTAAGCCGGCGCGGGGCCTCTGCCGCGTAGCTTTTTAGGTCAACTACTCTGGAAGATTATCATTGTACAATCTCAGTTTTATGCTAATTGGATGATATGCCATATTATTACATATTCTAGCTGCGACCCGCGACTCCGAATGTGTTAAATTGTTACTAATATATAACATTGTTTTTGAGTGTTGCTATAATTGCATTGCCTTAGTAAATTGATAGTCAGCTTATTGTATGCTTAGGAAATTTGGTTGGTTACCAATTTTTTGAAATTAGCATTTTAAATCAAACTAAATTTCTTATTGTAAAAACTACCTCTCCGCCAAATCTTCTGTTACACAATCCATTTAAGTCTACTGTAAGCAGAAAAGTCATCTTTGCCAATTTTTAGATACATACTAGAAACTCGAAGCAGTTTCAAACTTGCAAGTGCCATTTAATCCCTTAATACGGCCTTGTTACAAAATCCGTCTCTAGTTGAAATGTCATGTCCTTACCTCCTTGCAAAAATTCAGGTTGGTGATCAAAAAAGCTTCCGAGATTTCGCGATTAATGTGTATCTTTTCGCTTTTACGTATATCTTAATTCAGCCCCATTGCAAAATCCGTTTTTAGCTGAGATTCCACGTCCCATTTCTCCTACCTCTCAACCAAATGGCATGTTCATGAGTTAGAAGTTTCTGTGATTTCGAGATTAATATGCATCTTTTTGCTTTTATCTATATTTGCCCTTAGCTCCCTTAATGCGCCCTCGTGTGGTCCTAACTGACATGTCCTGTCCGTAAACTCCCTCCCTACCAAATGTCATGTTAATAGGTCAAATAATTTTCGATATTTCGTGATTATAAACGTCTCTTTTATATATACGAGGATGGTCCGATAAGTACTGAGTATTTATTTCTTAAGATAGTCTCCTTTTAGCTCGATACACTTGACTCAACGATGCTCCAACTTCTTTAACCCGTCTGACATATACGTTTTCTGGAGGTCTGCAAAGTATACCTTAGCTGATATGGTTGAGCGAGTATCTTTCCGCATTATATTTATTATACCTCTCTCCATAATCCCCTTATTCAGCTCGTCGCAAAATTAGTCGTAGCTGACATGTTCTGTCCATAAAAATACCTCTGCAAGGTTCATGTTCATAGGTCAAATAGTGCTCGAGATAAATTTCTTTAAACTTGAAAAACTGATACGGTTGCCCATAGAAATGTTCATCCCTCTCCTCACTCATCTTGAGGATATAATTTCTGAAACTCTTGTTGATAATCATTATTTTTAAGACAAACATACTACTACTTTAGTTGGATCAATTTGAAATATTCTAAATTCTCTACAAAAAAACTTGAAAAGTGTGAATTTCACTTTACTCCCTTGGAGGGTGGAATTTACAATATTCCCTTGTAAGTGCCCATTTACACAGTATAAAAAAACCGAGCATATAAAACCCATATCTATATTACTAGCGTTAAAAAATAACAGTTTTCCCCATAGCAGCTTTCACCTCCTATTCAACCCCCTCCAGTCCTAATTTTCACAACAAAAGGTGGCATCTGTCCGTCTCCAAGGTCTAGTCTGTATATATGCTAAAATTCATTAAAATCGTTCAGCCCTTTTGGCGTGAAAAACGGAACATAGAAATATACATACCGACTTTTACATTTATAATAGTAGGGATAATATTCGGATTCGGTTTTTTGGCATAATCTGTTGCAAATGGACCATTTCTAATGAATCTGCATGTTGCTAGATCCAAACTTACTTCAAAAATTGTTTGAACATTTTTTTATACCAATTTCATGAGTTGATTTTTTTCGTCGTCGATATGTTTTTTAGTTTTTTGGTCATTTTGCTCTTTACCTTACAGTTAATATTTTTCCACATATAAGCGATACAGCATTTTAAAAACTGCAAAATATACCGTTTTCGACCCCGAAAGCAATATGAAAAAACGAACATTTTAATGTTGCCCAAGTATCTAAGCGCGCCTCAATGCATATTCGTGACTAACCAATTAAAAAAACAAAGGTTATATACAATAAAAATTACACCTAAAATGTTTTGGAATGTAATTACTAGATGTTGAAGAATATTAAGGACTTTCAACATTCAAGTTTTCGGTTTTTTCATATTGTTTCGGGGTCTAAAATAGCACGCAATTTACATTTTATAGTAACGACCCGAAAACCTAAAAAAAAACTTTGTTCGGAGCGAACAACGATTTTGGGGATTCGTGTAAAAATTTAGCTTAAACATTTTTGGACCTGACAACATGCAGATTCGTTAAAAGAGGCTGTTTTTGAATAAGATTACGCGAAAATCAGAATCAGGGTATTTTTCTGAGCGGGTGCCGAGCTACTTCCTGGATTAAAAGTGATTAGGTAATTAGCTCCAAAATAAGTAGTCAATCTATGAAAACAACAGCACAAAGTGTGGCAATACTGCTCTCCATCTGTGCCCTACTACTATTCCGCCTTGGAAAGTGATTTGTTATAAAACTTTAACAATGTTTGATAACTAAACGAATTTATTCAGTATTGCGTGAAATTTCATTTGCTAATTTTTTCAAAACAGTGTCCTTCCTGTTTAAAGCTTTCAATGCTCAAGATTATCTTTCAAAGTAGTTAATCTAAGCATAAAATGTCGCGCTTAGGCGTATCTAACTAGGTGTTTGGTGTTAGGGCTGCTTTTGCGACTTTTGGCGTAGCTCATTTCTCCTGAAGCATGGCGTAAGATTAGCATCACGAGGAATGAGGTTCTGGCTAAGAGATGTCCAAAGATTTAAAAATCATATATAAAAACTGGTGCGTGCGCAGGCTGTTATCACACAAAGTTAAAAACACTCTGTTTTAGTATTTTATATCGAGGTTCCTGAAGGTGAATTTTATAGGGCATTAAAAATTATCGGTATATTATATTGCTTTGCTCATGTATTATCGGGAAGTATCAACAATCCCTTCTAAAGTTGAAATAGTTTTAAAGTCGCGCGTAATAAGTTTAGTGTGACGCGATAGGTTTCCCTTATGCACTGTTCTTGCTGTTCGATTAAAAAAAAGTGTGTTGACTTCTACCTCACTTAGCATATTCGGGGCCGACTACGTGTTCCACAGGATCCATCTGGATCCTTCTAAAGCAGTCTTTGTGCGAAATGAATAAACCTACGCGGTGCTGGTCCAGCAAGACGATCTGAATATATTCGTGAAGCATCAACATGATCTTGAAGACACGCCAAAATAATATTAAGTCGTCAAGATGGTTACTTAAACAAGAGTTTATCTTCGATTATTGTTTCAAATTCAATTTATAGGTATAACCAGGTCGGTTTACCTACACTGCGTGCGTCGTATCGTTTCGCCGAATTTTTGCTGTCTGATAATTTAGCTTGTTTTACAGGTATGTACTATACGCTATGTAAAACAAAATCATCAACTTTGAGAACATCCGCGGTTTCTTAAAGTAGAAAATATGGCTAGTGACCACCCAGTCCCGTTTCTAATTCAAAGGCATACCTGTGTGTCCTGCTGCAGCATGTGCTAGTGCGATCTATGACTTGTAATACCTACCCGGTGTTTATTTCCCATTACCATCATAGATGACAATTGACGTCTCCTAGCCACAATACCTCCCTTCTCGCCACACTTAGAGCGTAATTGCAGGCAACCCCTATCTTTCCCCGATCCCCTAGTCTTGGAGGGGCTCCACTTGGACCGGATATTCCGACGATGCGCATGCGCGACTCCCCTTTCAGATGGCTGGCTAATCACGAGCCTCTAACGCCTCCCTCTTCCCCATTTAGGGCGTGCTACCTGAAGGCCATCGAAACGCGGCCTGACTTCGCCGTGGCCTGGAGCAACCTAGGTGCGTGTTCAACGCCCAAGGCGAGATATGGCTGGCCATACACCACTTCGAGAAAGCCGTGGGCTGGATCCGAATTTCCTGGATGCGTACATCAATCTGGGAACGTGCTGAAGGAGGCGAGGATTTTTGATCGGTGAGTGGAGTGTGATTTAGATGGGGTGGTATAGGCGTCAACACAGCTATGGTTTTTTTAATTGTTGTTTAGTGGTGCTAAATACATGATAAGGTTTGCACAAGTCGAAAAAAGGATGATACAATAAAAATACTGAAACAAACGGAACAAACAGTATAACTTATAACCCAGGATGAAATAAGAAATAGATACTATACGAGTATAGTATATCACAATTATTCTACAGTATTTACTATATTGTTCAAGTATCTTGTTCACAAGGTGCAATTTTGGGTCCACTGATATTTAATATTTGAAGACACAAGTGGATAAAGATGTCATGTAACAAAATCATTTAATGCAGAAACATTTTTTAATGGACTTTTTATTTATTGACATTTTAAATATTTTGTTTACTTAAAACGTTATTATCTTTGTTTTTGAACAAAGTAATCACAGAATGAAAGAATCACTTTTAAGGTTAGTTTAACGAAAATGTCCAAAAAAATGTTACCTGACACCTTTATCCACTTGTGTCTTCATTTGTTTGAACGATTATTCAAAATTAATAGTACTGGTAAAATAGTCCGTTTTGCGGACGACATAGTCATACTGTATAAATGTTAGGATGATTCGATATTATCCAAAATGACTTTGTAAAATTAGCAATTAACTTTGCGAAAACTCATTATCACAAAATTATTAGTGAACGCGACACTTTTAAACATAGTTATAACACCCGCACGGTATCTGTAACTTGAAAAGTGACATTATGGCCTTTTTTTGACATTATGCTGTTTTTTTGACATTTGTAGGTATGCTACAGATATAAACTTAGCACTCAGTTGTACGTGTTGCCTAACGTCATGAGGTTTGTTATCAATCTTTGGCTCTGATGTGGTATAAAATCTGGTTCTGAGATGGGATACTGGAGGTCTTAAACAGTAAGTTGTATGTGTGATAATTAATTACATTGTTCTTGTCACAAATACACTTAATTGAGATTCAAGCTAGAAATTAGTTGCCAATCCACTTTTTCTTATCCATTCTGGAAATTACATATACAAACTTGCTGAATTTCAAAATGAGACAGGTAAGAAATAATTATATTCACTGTACACTGTAGAATTACAAGCCATATATATTATGCTAACCGTAATTACACACAACGGGGGCGCGGAGATTATTTCCCGCAATTCTCCTCAGTTTTTCGTAATTTATAACTTTGACATAACCTCTCTTCAGAAAGCACAACATAAAAATAACCCATCGGGCACAGCCAATAGATATACTTCATTGCAGCATATTCAGTAATGATTTTCTCACACAGCAAATATCCTGATTTTATACACATGCAGACCAATACACATAATCATCCATATGCGATCATGCATTCAACCCCTTTATCTCAGAG